GAAAGAAAGAAAGAAAGAAAAAGAAAGAAAGAAAGGAAGAAAGAAAATAAATTACAGGCTAATCTGATGGACACAGGTGCAAAAATCCTCGACAAATTCAACAATACATTAAGAGGATCATAAACCATTATTGACTGAGATCTATTCCAGGGATGCAAAGATGATTCAACATCCACAAATCAACCAATGCAATATACCACATTAACAAAATGAAGGATAAAAGTCATATGATTATCTCAGTAGATACAGAAAAAGCATTTGACAAAATTCAACATCCATTTATAACAAAAATTCTCAGAGTGTGTATAGAGGGAATGTACCTCAACATAACAAAGACCAGGGCTGCCTGGGTGGCTCAGTCGTTGAATGTCTGCCTTCGGCTCAGGTCATGATCCCAGGGTCCTGGGATTGAGTCCCACATCGGGCTCCTTGCTCAGCAGGGAGCATGCTTCTCCCTCTGCCACTCCCTGCCACTCTGCCTACTTGTGATTCCTCTCTCTCTCTCTCTCTCTGTGTCAAATAAAATCTTTAAAAAAAAAAACATAACAAAGACCATATATGACAAACCCACAGTTAACATCATACTCAATGGTGAAAAGTTGAAAGCTTTTCCTCTAAGATCAGGAACAAGACAAAGATGCCCACTCTCACCACTTTTATTCAACATAGTATTGGAAATCCTAGACAGAGCAATTAGACAAGAAAAAAGAAATAAGACATCCAATTTGGAAAGGAAGAAGTAAAACTATCACTACTTGTGGATAATATGGTTTTACATATAGAAAACCCTAAGTACTCCACCAAAAAACTGCTAAAATAAACAAATCCAGTAAAGTTGTAGGATACAAAATCAATGTACAAAAATCAGTTGTCTTTCTATACATTAACTATTATTAGAGAAATTAAGACGATGACTGTATTTACATTTGCATCAAAAAGAATAAAATATCTAGGAATAAATTTAACCCAGAAGGTGAAAAACTTGTACACTGAAAACTGTAAGTCACTGAAGGAGACACCAATAAATAGATATTCTGCGCTCATGGATTGGAAGAATTAATATCCTTAAAATGTCCATATTACCCAAAGCAATCTATAGATTCAAGGCAATCCCTATTAAAATTCCAATGGCATTTTTTACAGAAATAGAACAAATAATTCTAAAATTTGTGTGGAACCCCAAAGACCCCAAACAACCAAAGCAATCTTGAGAAAGAACAAAGCTGGCATCACACTCCCTGATTTCAAACTATATTACACAGCTATAGTAATCAAAACAGTGTGGTATTGGCATAAAAATAGACACATAGATCAATAGAACAGAACAGAGAGCCCAGAAATAAACTCACATGTATATGATTAATTAATTTATGATAAAGGATCAAGAATATGCAATAAGGAGGGGCGCCTGGATGGCTCAGTCAGTTAGACATTTGCCTTTGGCTTGGGTCATGGTCCCAGGGTCCTGGGATCGAGCCCCTCTTTGGGCTCCTTGCTCAGTGGGGAGCCTGCTTCTCCCTCTCCCACTGCCTGCAGCTCCCTCTGCTTGTGCTCTCTCTCTCTCTGTCAAATAAATAAATAAAATCTTTAAAAAAAGGGGGGGGAGCTGATAAACTGGACTTCATCAAAATAAAAAAAAAGCTTAAAAGAAGAATATACAATGAGGAAAGGACAATCTCTTTAATAAACGGTGTTTGAAAAAACTGGACAGCTACACACAAAAGAATGAAGCTAGACCCCTATGTTACACCACACACAAAAATTAACTCAAATGGATTAAAGACTTAAATACAAGACCTGAAACCATAAAACTCCTAAAAGAAAACATAGGCAGTTAGCTCTTTGACATTGGTCTTGGCAACAAATCTTTGGATTTGACCCCAAAAGCAAAGGCAACAACAGTAAAAATAAACAAGTGGGACTACATTAAGCTAAAATGCTCTGCCCAGCAAAGAAAACCGTCAATGAGATGAAAAGGCAACCTAACGAATAGGAGCAAATATTTGAAAAATATTTTTTGGATAAGGGGTTAATATCCAAAATATATAAAGAACTTATACAACTCAATACCAAAAACAAAAACAAAAAATGCCAAATAATCCAATTTAAAAATGGACAGAGCATCTGAACAGACATTTTTCCAAAGAAGAGATACATATGGCTAACAGGCACGTGAACATGCACAGGCTCGACATCACTATCGCCAGGGAAATTCAAATCAAACCCACAATGAGATATCACATTACATCTGTTAGAATGGTTATTATTTAAAAGATAAGAAGTAAGTGTTGACGAGAATGTGGAGATAAAGCAACCCTCGTGCACTGTTGGTGGGAGTGTAAATTGGTGCAGCCACAATGTAAAACAGTATGAAGGTTCATCAAAAAATTAAAAATAGAACTACCATATGATCCAGCATTTCCACCACTGGGAACTTATCTGAAGAAAATGAAAACACTAATTTGAAAAGATGTATGTATCCTTATGGTCACTGCAGCATTATTTACAATGGCCGAGATACAGAAACACCCTAAATGCCCATCAGTGGATGAATGGATAAAGAAGACATAGTATATATGCACAGCAGACTACTATCAGCCATTAAAAAAGAATGAAATCTTACCGTTTGCGACACTATGGGTGGACTTGACGGCATTATGCTAAGTGAAATAAATCAGAAAGACAAATACCATATGATTCCACCTACACATGGGATCTAAAAAACTAAACAAATGAACAAACAAAATAGATATGAAGAACAGACTGTTGGTTGCCAGAGGGGAGGCAGGTTGAGGGGTGGGTAGAATGGGTGAAGGGAGGCAAGAGGTACAAACTTACAAGTTTGTTATAAAATAAATAAACGGAGATGTAATGCACATGGAGATGTAATGGACAACATGGTGACAAAGGTCAATAATATTTTATTACGTATTTGAAAGTTTTTAAGAGAGTAAATCCTAAAAGTTCTTACGACAAGAAAAAAATTTTTGTGATTTTGTATGGAGATGGATGGTAATTAGACTTGTTGTGGTGATTATTTCAGTGTATAGAAACCTTGAATCATTACGCTGTACACCTGAAACTAATATAATGTCATATTTCAATTATGACATTCTCTCTGTATATGGTGGGGATGTATAATTGAAATATAAGATTATATTAGTTTCAGGTGTACAACATAATATATTTAATAATGTATAATAATATAATATGTTATAATAGTATATATAATATATATTGTGTGTCATATTTATAATATATATCTGTGACTTGAATCAGATTTTAATATCAGGTATATTAAAATTTTGTCAATAGTCAAAACACTCTACAACCTTGGATTATTTTATTTCATGTACCAACTTATTAAACCATGCATTATAAATCTGGAAAAGAAGAGGCGCCTGGGTGGCTCAGTCATTAAGCGTCTGCCTTTGGCTCAGGTCATGATCCCAGGGTCCTGGGATCGAGCCCTGCATCGGGCTCCCTGCTCAGCGGGAAGCCTACTTTTCCCTCTCCCTCTCCCTCTGCTTGTGTTCCTGCTCTTGCTAGCTCTCTCTCTGTCAAATAAATAAATAAATAAATAAATAAATAAATAAATAAATAACATCTTTTTTAAAAAATCCATAAAAGAAGACACAATGTGTAATGGCATGAAAAATCAAGTACTTAGGAATAAATATAATAAAATATATGTAAGATCTCTATATTAATAACTGTACATTCCTGGGAGAAATTAAACAAAGCCTAAATAATGGGAATATTTATGATGTTCACGGATTGGAAGTCTGAATATTGTAATATATTGATTCTACCCAAATTTATCTTTAGGTTCAATGAAGTCCCAGTTTATTAAAAAATAGGATGTGCGGGGGGACAGAAACTACAAGCTGACTCCAAAATATATATACAAACAGCCAAGAACAATCAAGACAATCTTGAAGAACAAAGCTGGAAAATCTGTACTACCAGGTATCATGACTTATTATGAAGGTATAGTAATAAAAAAACTATGGCATTGGTGCAAGGGTGGATAGACAAATTGTATTTGTCAGAGTCCGATGAGGATACAGAAACCACACTAGTGATGATGTTGGCATGAATAAAGACCAAAGTGTCTTCCTGGTCTCTAGGTTTTACATTTGGCCATTCCTGAATATCAGGAGCCTAGGAGGGCAGGGGTTAAGCCTTTTTGGTCACCACTGTGTCCCCAGCATCACCTGCCCAGGGTCTGGCTTGGGAAGGAGCAGAAGAAGTTCCTACCGAATAAACATCTAAACAAGCCAGTGAAGAGACCCCTTCCTAGACTGACCATGAAGGCTTACGGGCTGGGAGACAGAGCCTGCATTCCCACTGGAAGGCAAACCCCAGCCCCCGTGGGCATAGGAAACAAAGCCTAGGCAAGGATCAAAGGCAGGGCTGATGCCCTGGTCCAGTCACCTGTAGATGGAGGCCAAGGGGCAGGTAAGCCACATGGTGTTGGTCATCTTGCCCAACTGATAAATGTCAAAGATGAAGTATGGCTGGTTGGTTTCCTTGACATGCTCGCAGGGTACAAGGCAGGCTTCCACCTGCAGTTCAGGCCGCAGACGGCTGGAGCGTGCCTTCTCTGCTCTCAGATAGAGCCAACAGGGCATGGCTTTTTCCAGGGGCTCTTCAACGTAGCAGTAACCCAGGCGCTTCCGCTCCCCCGGCTCCCCACAGCGGTTACAGTCCTGCCAGGGCTCCCACTGGGTGAAGATGAGTACATGGCCACCCAGACTGAGGGTCTCATTCGGCAGGGGTTTTTGGCCCAGGCCTTTGTGTGTAATATGCAGGGTGCTGACATCTTGGAAATCAATCTCATACTCTACCACAAGGGCATTGTCACTGTCCTGGCAGTGATAGAGGCCTGTCTGGGACGGCTGAGGGTTGGTCAGTTGAAGGCTGCCCCCAGGCAGTTTCTTTATGTTAGGCATTGAGGAGAGCAGGAAGGGATCTTCCTCCAGAATGGAAGAGAAGTACCAGAGTGACTTGGGATAGTCACACTGCAGGACAACATCGTTGCCCGAGACTAGGGCGTGCTGGCAGAGACTCTTATAGGCACACCTGATTAATATCTGGGCCCACAGAGTGGGGAGAGAAAGGCTAAGCAGCCAAAGGGGGGCCAACATGGTAGTCCGAGACTAAACAAGGATGCTGGGAACCATCCTGGGCATTATGAAGTCACCCACAGAACTCAGGCATCAGCCCCAAGTGGAATGAAACCTGGGCCTGCTGTACATTCTGGAGTACACAGAAATCACTGGCCTGTACCATTTCTACAATCACTGAGGATATACTGCAAGGTGCTCCTGTCTCGTAACTGGGGAGGACTGCTTAATTAGATAGCACCAGATCAGATGATTGAGGTGGGCTGGGGGTGTTTTCTAAATCTTTGTTCCCTGTGGCTCATGTCTCCACTCTCCAGAGAGATGTCTCTTTTTCCATTATTAACCTTGGCTGCATCTGAGGTGGCATTGAAAGATGTGCCCTCCTTCCCACATGAGCAGTGTTCCCAGCCTTTTCCCTGTCTTCCAAAGTTTGGGACCTGAGGATTCTTATAAGCCTCCAGCCAACTCCACGTGCAAAAAACCCACATCCACAGTTCTGTTCAAGGTGTTCCCCATCTCTCTGCCTCCCTGTCTCTCTCTCTCTCTCTCTCTCTCTGTCATGACAGAGGCACCGTATCAGGAGATATGGAGAGCCATATTCTTCATCTCTCTTTCACTGCGCCCTTTTGCCTACCTGGGAGTATCTTAAGGATTTTCTGGGAGTATTTTAATTCATTCAGAGATTTTAACAATGGTTAATAATGATTTAATTAGGGCTGCACCCTTGATTTTATCCTTGGCAGAATCTGAGTGCTAATTGGATTTTGTCTCTCAAAGGCCTTCCCAATTTTTGGCTGACTTTAGTAAATTTTCACTCCTACTCTTCTGTATTTCAACTGCTTCCCCTAAAGCTGCAAGTTCATGAAGTACATTATCTGCCTTTAAAAGTATCTCAGGCAACAGTCTCCATCCTGCTGCTTTCAAATAAATTTTCTTGTTCCCTTTGCCCTGTGTCAAAGCCAATGCCATACATTTTTATTTTTAGTTACAGCAGCACCTCACTCCTGATACTGATTTCTGTATCACTCAAGATAGGCTATTTGCTTCTATAGTAAACTTACTCCGAATCTCAATGACTTACAAAAACAAAGGTTTACTTCTCACTCAAGCTCCATGTCCCTTGTGGGTTGGCATTATAATCACTCAGGGACCCAAGATAATGGAAAGCCATCTCACACATTTCTAGTTTCATGCCAGAGGAGGAAGAAAGAGAGCTCTGTAGGATTTCATGTCTACAATGAAATGCTCTGGCCTTAAATGACACCTGTCACTTGCTCACAAACCACTAGCCACAAACAGTTACATGGCACCACCAATCCATCAACCCAACAAAAGAAATGGAATTCTACTATGCCCAGGAAACACTTGGCAAAAGGAAATCAGTAATGATTACTGCAGTTGATGTTTACTACAAGGAGTGTTCTTTTATATCATAAAGTTGAAATCATTTCCAAAATCATCCCTATCATTCCAGATCTCCTAAGGTTTCATTGGCCAGGATTAGGTCCCATGTGCAGACCCAAACCAATCCCTGAGAGACAAGAGAATTTCCATGATTGGCTTAACAATCAGAATGTGTTCTCTAGGACTGGGGAAGTATAACCTTCTCTGACTACAGGAGTCATCTAAGACAAACAAAATCAGGGCTTTGTATATAGGAGAGATGTGGAAGAGAATGCTTATTTGGTGAGAGTAATTCCATATTATCTAGAAGCTGAGAAGAACGCAGCGAAACTAGAGTAGTAGTCACTCATATGACCTGAGAGAGGATGTTTGGTATTTTGTGGCTTGGACAATGTTCTGTCTTGTCTTTTCAGACATGATTATAAATTGATCTCATTTTTGTCTTGGTTCACCATAGTCACAGAGAGGCTTTGTGTGATGTTGGTGTTCTGTGGAATTGTTTATGTTCAACAGCATACCATGATCTAGCTGTGAGTTCTAGGCCAGCTTCTAGTAACACCAACACTGTTATTAGTGTTAGGTCAGCTCCCAGCTATCAGAGGCTGCTTTTTCTCTTTCTCACACATTTAAAGAGCTGCAATGAATCTCTTTCTGCAATGGAAGCCTGATCAAATGGCTTTCTCTTTGGGAAGCTGTTTCCTCATTTTCTTTTCTTTTTTTTTTTTTTTTTAAAGATTTTATTTATTTATTTGAGAGAGAGAGAGAAACAGCATGAGAGGGGAGAGGGTCAGAGGGAGAAGCAGGCTCCCCACCGAGCAGGGAGCCCGATGTGGGACTCGATCCCAGGACCCTGGGATCATGACCTGAGCCGAAGGCAGTCGCTCAACCAACTGAGCCACCCAGGCGCCCCCTCATTTTCAAAATAGGGATTTTAATGGTTCTGGCTACAAAGGGCACTTAGGAAGATTTGATGAGATTTTGTAAATAAAGTGCTCAGCCAGTGTTGTTATTGGAGAATGCACAATAAGGACCTTGTTCTCTAAATATCAGTTTTATATTCTGGTTGCAGATTACTACTTCTGATCACAAAAGTGCAGACACAGAAGCAGACCACCATTGTTTCGACCCTCACTGGCTGAAGCAGCTTCCAGGAGATTTAAAGGGACAGCCTCTGGGTTTTCTCCCTTTTGGAAGCCAGACATTTAGGGATTAGGACATTTGTAAGCAACAATACATACATAAGGTAGGGGAACTTAGAAAGTCATTGCAGAAGCCCAGGGAAAAATGCAAACTCAGAAAAGATCTGAGATGACCCTAAGCTTTCCCCTCAGGCTGATCCCCAGCATAGAGACACCCTACAACAACAACAATTGCTAGCAAGCCCTGGGGGGTGGGGGTATATGATTTCCAGAGTTACCACATTATAAGATTCAAATGTCTGTTTTCAACAAAAAAATCATAAGGTATAAAGAAACAGAAAAGCATGGCCCATTCAAAGGAAAAAATATCCCCAAGGAAGCCCAGGTGGTAGACATACTAGACAAAGATTTAAACAACGGTCTTAAAATGTTCAAGGAGCTTGAGAAGACATGGTGAAAGACAGGAAAATGATGTATAAACAGAATGAAAATATCACTAGAGACATAGAAAATATAAAAAAGAACCATAAAGAAATCCCGGAGCCGAAAAATACAATTACTGAGATGAAAAATTCATTCAAGGAGTTCAGAACAGATGTGAGGAGGCAGAAGACACCATCAGTGAACTTGAAGATAGGATAACTGAAAGTACTGAGTTTAAGGATCAGAAGGAAAAAAGACTGAAGAAGAGTGAACAGAACCTAAGGGACCTATGGAGCATGATCGTGCAGACCAACATACATATTGTTAGAGTCCTACAAGAAGAGAGAAAAGAAAGCTGCTACAAAATTACATTTGAAGAAATATCGGCCAGAGACCACTCAAATTTCATGAAAGACATGAATCTACAAATCATAGAAGCTCACTGAACTTCAAGAGAATTAACCCCAAAAGATCCATACCAACACATATTGTAATCAGACTGGTTAAAGCCACAAAGAAAGAGACAAACTTGAAAGCAGGGAGAGAAGAAACTTGTCACATAAAGGGATCCCCAGTAAGGGTGTCAGCTGATTCCTCATCAGAAACCCTGGAGGCCTGAAGGCAACAGGTTGAAATTTTCAAAGTGCTGAAAGAAAAAAAAAATTCAACCAGGAATTCTATAACTAGCAAAAGCATCCTTCAACAATAAGGGGAAAATTAAACATGCCCAGATAAGCAAAAGCTGAGTTTGTTGCCACTAGACCAATCCTGAAAGAAATAATGAAGGGAGCCCTCCCGATAGCAATGAAAGGATGTTTGACAGTAACCAGAAGCCATAGGAAGAACTAAAGATCTCCAGCAGAGGTAAATACATGGACGATTATAACAGCTAGTATTATTGTATTAAATTCCACTTTTAATTGTCTATGTGACTTATAAGAAAATCCATAAAAATAATTACTAATCTTTGCTATTGGGAAAATAGTGTATAAAGATGTAATATGAGACACCAATAACAGAAAGGAGGTGATAGAGATGAACAGGAGCAGTTTTTATATGATACTGACATTAAGCTGGTATAAATTCAAATTGAAGTGTGATAACTTCAGGGGGTTTTACGTGTAATGTAATTCCCAGGGTTACCACAAAGAAAATTGCCATAGACTACATACAATAGGAAATGAGAAGGGAATAAAAACATTTTATTATAGAAACATTAACTAAGGAGGCCTAGGTGGCTCAGTCGGTTAAGTGTCTGCCTTCAGCTCAGGTCAAAATCCCAGGGTCCTGGGATCGAGCCCCACATGGGGCTCCCTGCTCAGCAGGGAGCCTGCTTCTCCCTCTGCCTGCTGCTCCCCCTGCTTGTGCTCACTTTCTCTGTCAGATAAATAAATAAAATTTTAAAAAGAATAAAATAAAAACATTAACTAAACACAAAAGAAGGCAGTAATGGAGTAAATGAGGGGCCAAAAAAAGCTATAAGGCATACAGAAAAGAAATAGCAAAGTGGCAAAAATAAGTCCCTCCTTATCAGTAATTTCTTTAAATCAAAAGACAAGAGATTGGTAGAATAGATAAAGAAAAGTTGATCCAACTATAGGCTGTGTACAAGAGACTCACTTTAGACTCAAAGACACAAATAAGTTGAAAGTGAAAGGACAGAAACACAGTAACCAAAGAGAGTTGGAACGGCTATGCTAATATCAGACAAAACAGACTTTAAATTGAAATAGGTTTCAAGAGACAGAGAAGGACAGTATTTATTAATAAAATCTTCAACACAGGAAGAAGCTATACCCAAGACATTTATACACCTAATAACAGACCCTCAAAATATGAAGCAAATGTGGATAGAATTGCACAGAGAAATATAGTTCTACAATAACAGTTGGAGACTTCAATACTCCACTTTCAATAATGGATAGAACAAACAGGTAATAAGTAAGGAAATGAAAGACTTGAACAACACAATAAATCAACTAGCCCTGACAGACATATTCAGAACACTCTACCCAACAACAAAATTTAAGTGCACATGAGACATTTTCCAGGATATACCATGTGTTAGGCCACCAACTAAATCTCAGTAGATTTAAAAAATAGATATCATACAAACTATCTTCTCTGATCACAATGGGATTAAGTAAGAAATCAATAATAATAGAAGGAAAAATAGAAAATTTACAACTGTGGAAATTAAACACTCTTAAACAATAAGTCAAAAAAATCACAAGGAAAATTAGAAAATACTTAGAGATAAATGAAAATGCAATATACCAAACTTGTAGAATGCAGCAAAAGCATTGCTCAGAGAGAAATTTATAGCTTTTAATGCCTGTATTTAAAAAAAATCTTAAATTAGTAACCTGACTTTATACCTTAGGGAACTAGAAAAAGAAGAGCAAACTAACTCACAACTAGCAGAAGGAAGGAAATAATGAAGAGTAGACCAGAGACAAATAAAATAGAGAATAGGGAAAAAGAGAATAGCAATGAAATCATATGTTGTTGGGTTTTTTTAAATATCAACAAAACTGACAAATCTTTGGCTACACTGACAAAGAACAAAAGATAGAAGACACAAATAATGAAAATCAGAAATGAAAGTGGGGACATTTCTACTGACCCTACAGAAATAAAAAGGATTACAAGAGAAAACTAGGAGCAACTGGATGCCAAGAAATTAGGCCACCTAGGAGAAATGGACATATTCCTTGAAACATGTATTTACCTAAGCTAACTCAAAAAGAAATAGAAAATCTCACCAGACCTGTAACAAGAGATTGAAGCAGTAATTAAAAACCTCCCAGTGAAGAACAGCCAGGAACAGATGACTTCACAGATTAACCAAATATTTAAAGAAGAATTAACATCAGTCCTTCTCAAATTCTTCCAAAAAACTGAAGAGGGGGGAAACCCTAACTGATTCTACGTAGCTCGCACTACCCCGATACCAAAGCCACATAAAAACATCACAAGAAAAGAAAATTACAGACCAATGTCCCTTATGAATATAGATGCAAAAATCACAACAAAATATTAGCAATGCAAATCCAACAGCATATTAAAAGACTACTCAGCATGACCAAGTGGGATTTATCCAAGAATGTAAGGGTGGTTCAACATAAGAAAACTAATCAACGTAATACATCACATTAATAGAATGAAAGGAAAAGAGGGTGCTTGGGTGGCTCAGTCGGTTAAGCATTTGCCTTCGGCTCAGGTCATGATCTCAGGGCTTGGGATCCAGCCCCACATCGGGCTCCCTGCTTGGAGGGGAGTCTGCTTCTCCGTCTCCCTCTGCCCCTCCCGCTCCCCCCACTCGTGCTCTCTTTCTCAAATAAACAAAATCTTTTTTAAAATTTTAAAAAGAATGAAAAGAAACACAACTATCTCAGTTGATGGAGAAAAGGCATTTGACAACATCCAATATCCTTTACCCCGACAAAAACTCTCTGAAAACCAAGAATAGAGGGAAAATTCTCAACCTGATAAAGGGTATTATGGAAAATCCACAGCTAATATCACACTCAATGGTGAAAGATTGAATACTTTCCCTCTAAAGTCAGGAACAAGACAAGGGTGCCTACTTTCACTGCGGCTACTCAACAGTGTACTAGAAATCCTAGGACAGCAATCAGACAAGAAAAAGAAGTAAAAAGCATCCAAATTGGAGAGAGGTAAAGTTAATAAACTTGAGTCCCATGTAGGGCTCCTTGTGCAGCGGGGAGCCTGCTTCTCCCTCTCCCTCTGCCCCTCTCTCTGGCTTGTGCTCTCTTTCTCGGGCATGTGAACTCTCACACTCCCTCTCAAATAAAATCCTTAAAACGACAATAACCACAACCAAAAGATGGAAACAGCACAAGTGTCTAACAACAGATAAATGAATATACAAAATGTGGCCTATACATACAATGAAATAATATTCAGCCATAAAACGGGAGGAAATTTTCATTGTGATATATCCTACAACGTGCATGAACCTCGAAAACATTACACTTAGTGAATAAGGCAGTGTCCTGAGCACACTAAGAAGGTGCACACACAATGTCAGCTCTATTCGATCATAAAGCAAAGTTAAATCACAATTATAAAACAGGTGCAGGATTCCAAACTCAGTGACAATTCACCATGCAATTAAACTTGGCTTCTGACGCAGCACACAAAGCAGGACAGAAAACAAGCCTGCACAACAAACAAGGTACCAGAGGGGTGCAGGAAGTGAACAAACCAAATGCTAAGTCAGTGCGTGGGCGCGCAGCTGAGATAAGGCCTCGGTCTGGCCCAGGTCGGCTCTTGGCACTTATTGCTTCTGATGTTCAAACCGTGAAGGGTCTCGGTTCTGTCTGGAGATCAATCCGGCAGAGCCTTCGGGGGCATTTGCCTTTTTTAAGTGGTCAGACATAGAGGGGTCAGGTCTGAAGAGTCTGAGAGTTTACTGGCCAAAAAATCCTTCCCTTTTTAAAGGGATTTAATCAGTTTTGAGTCTCTGCAGACCTTCTCTGGTTCTGCTCATTATCTCTTCTGGGGTGTCAGCTGACGTTGGTCCCGGGGCTGTCTCCCAGCTGCGGTACCTTACCTGCTCGCGTCATGGCTTGATACAGGCTCCTGCTTGACATGAGAGACTCCATTTTGCTCTCTACAGCCAGACATAACAAACGTTAGATGTTTCCATTAATATGAGGTACTCAGAAGAGGCAATTGGATAAAGTAGAAGAGAGGTCAGCAAGGGCTGTGGGGCAGGTAGGAATGGGGCGTTATTGTTGAATTGATACACAGCTTACATTGGGGACAGGTAGGCAGCACTGTGAATGTAATTAATGCCACTGAATTGTACACTTACAAATGGCTAAAATGGTAAGTACTATGGTATATTTTACCACACATACACAAAAAATAAAGAGGTGAGGGAGGGACGTGAAAGGGTTGAAATTTTATAAGAAATGACCTTTACGTAAAGCCCTAAAGGAGATGGAAGGCCGCGTGGCCATCTGCAGGAAGGGTGTGCGAGCAGAGCGAGCAGTAGTAAGGGCAGTAGACCCGAGGTGGGAGCCTGAGAGACACATTCCAGAACGGGGTGGAGGGGCCGCCAGTGTGGCTGAAGTTGAATGAGCCAGGGGGAGAGGGGAAGGAGGGGAGGTCAGAGAGGGTTCGGGCCACTACAGTTTGGTTTCTTCTGGGAAGGGGAGCCACAGGAAGGTTTTGAGCAGATAGATGCACGTGATCCAACCTGAATTTTAACAGGATGCAGTCAAACAAAACACCCCTGGGCACTGCACCGGCCAGCCAGTGGCCAGTTCGCGACCTCCGGGGAGTCTCTCCGAGAAAGCGCCAATGCTTCCCAGGAGGCGCTTCCCCTAGCCGCCTTCGGGGGGCAGAAGAGCCGCGCTGAACGCCCCGCGTTCCGGAGCCTCGACACGCCCCGCACTAGGGCGCAGGTGGCTCAGGCCCTGGCGATCCTTAAGCGGAAACCTATCCCTACTTCCGCGCCTCCACTCGGCCCCTTTAAGAGCCAGAGTGTCCAGAGCGAGGGATGCCCGGGGGCTGAACCGCGACTGGGTCGGGGGGGGGGGGAGCGGGGGGAGGCGGGGAAGACTTCCGAAAGAGAATTCCAACTTTTCCTGGACCTGATTCCCCTCGGGCGTCCCTAAGAGGGCAGGCCTTCCTTTCCAGAAACTTCAGTCGGTTCTTTAAGTCATCTAAGTGGAAGACACAAGAGGCCCGTAGTGCCCCGTGCACCCTGGACCGGAGCCTCTCCCTGCCCAAAGCTCCTCGCTTAGACTCGTCCCTCCCCGCAGGGTGTACCTAGGCGGGTCCATCGCCAGCCGGGGAGAGGGGTGTGGGCAGAGCGGGGACAGGTGCAGGGAGGGACCCGCCCCCCTCAACAGGTGAATCACTCCAGCTGGGCCTCGGTTCCCGTGAGTTACACTCTGCTCGGCTCCGCCCGGGGAAGGAGAGGGCGGGACAGGATTCCCAGTCTGCAGGGGCCCTCCCGGCGGACTGGACACTTGGTTCCGACCCTCGGGGCCGGAGCACACCTGGGTCAGCCCACTTCCGGGGAGGGAGGTGGAGGAGCCCCTCCCCGCCACCCACCCCCTGGCCCAGCCCTCTGTTCTCACCCAGTGTACCTGGGCCGATCCATTCCCCAGAGTGAGCAGGGGGTGGAATGGCTCGGAGAGCCAGAGTGGGTCAGGCAAGTTTCTCCCCGAAAGCTGGAAGCGTGCTCCTCATCCACGTTATTTCCGCTCATTAAAGTCCTGGAACTTTAGGGCAGGGCAGGGTGGGCTTGGAATAGGGACAAGGAACGGAAGCGGGAAGGGGAGGAGCACGCACCCCTCCCCGCCTTGGTGCGCGCCGCGCCCCCTACCCTCTCGGTACCAAGTAGGGGACGCGCGGGCCGGACGCGCCCAGACGGCCGCGATGGCGCCAATGGCCCGCGGGCTCCCCTGGGGCATGGGCCCCTACCCGGCCTTTCGAGGCTGGGGCGCGGCCGTCTTCGTGTGGCTGTTTCTCAGAACCTTGTGCACAGGTACGGAGAGCGGGGCCTCTGGTGCGGCGGAACCGCGGGAGGGCACTATAGAAGGGGCATGGATGGAGTTCTACACCGCCGAACAGGCTGGAGAGCTGGGGGAGGGGAAGAGCCAAGACTAGGATCTCCTGATCCCCAGGGTCTCGGGAAATCCCTTGGGTGCCAGAGTGAGAGGAAGTCCCCATTGGAGTCAGGGAGCGCTCCCCCGCCCATGTTCAGAGATAGCAGGAAGTGAAACTCCCCGAACCGCGAGCCCTGGAGCGGCAAGGAGAATGAGACCCTTTGTGGTGTCGGGGTGAAGGACCACCCGATCACTGGGAAAGGCCGGGATGGGGACTTGGGCGCACCCCAAGATTTCTAAGTTTTGGGGTAACGGGGAGCGGGCACTCGAGGGACAGGATCAGACGCTTCCTGGAGAAAGAATTCAAGAAACCGTGCCCAGGCCTCGGGTGGGTGTCGGACTGGGGACTCCCCAGCCCCCAGTCCCACCCATGTCCCGAAGTATCTGCTTAAGAGTCTGGTGGGATGGACGTATGGACTTGGTGTGAAATCATCTTCTGCTGGCAAGCTTTCACCTGGATCAGGTGTTTTTTGGGTGGAGGTGTGGAGAGGACTTTCTCTCTCCCCAAGCACTTTTGGTGTATTCCTTTGAGATGGCTTTGGGTAGGGTGAGGTGGGACGCTGATGGAGACATAGTGGGGGCTTTACCTACTCCATAGCAAAATAGCTCAGTGAAAGAACTCCAAAATTCTGTGCCCCCCCCCACCCCATCCACAAAGCCCCGTGTTACTTGGCACCTGAGGTGGTTGTTTTTGCGGTAGGGTCTTGAGTGTGGTGGCTTTATGGTGGTCATTTGCGCTTTCCTGTATGGGCCACAGAGAGAGGTCCTTTCCCTGAGAGAATGGCTAAGGGAAGAGGGAGCTGGGTTCAGAGGCCACACCCTGGAAAGAGGGATGGACGGGGATGTTCCAAGAAATCTGGCTGTGTGACCTTGTACTTGTCACTTTGGCCCCATGGGTCTAGAAAATGGGCACGATTATCGGAGCTTACCTCTCCGGTCCCGGGATTAAGAAACAATGTGTGCTAGGCACTCTGCAAAGCCATTACACTTGTAAATGTCAAGCGGGTGACAAGTGATGTTGCTCATTCCTGCAGCAGTACTTCCCCGAGCTCGCTGTCTCTGCTAACTCTTCTCTCGCCCTCAGCCCCAGCCAGCGCCATCCAGGTGACGGTGTCAGACCCCTACCACGTGGTGATCCTATTCCAGCCCGTGACCCTGCCCTGCACCTACCAATTGACCACGACCCCTACGGCACCCATCGTCATCTGGAAGTACAAGTCTTTCTGCCGGGACCGCATCGCCGATGCCTTCTCCCCGACCAGTGCCGACAACCAGCTCAATGCCCAGCTAGCAGTGGGTAACCCAGGCTACAACCCCTATGTGGAGTGCCAGGACAGTATGCGCACTGTCAGGGTTGTGGCCACCAAGCAGGGCAACGCCGTGACCCTGGGAGACTACTACCAGGGCCGAAGGATCACCATCACAGGAAGTATGTTGGGCGGGGCAGGGGGGCGGGGCAGGGCTTGCTGGGGTGGTGATGCCGGCTCCCTGTGCCCAGCCTGGTGTCCCCACCTGGCAGCCCTTGAGCACCAGTGCCTGAAATCGATCCTCCCATCCGTCCATCCGTTCATCCATCTATGCTTTATTTAACAACAAAGATTAATTGAGCACCTAAGATACGCAGGCGCTATTTGAAGCTGGAAATAGAGCAGTAAACACATTCATCAAATCCCTTCCTTCCTGGAGCTTGCATTCCAGGGAGGGAGGCGAACAAGATAACACATGCTGGCAAGTGCTTGGAACATAAAATTGGGTAATGAAGAGGAGCAGGGGTTCTTTTTTTTTTTTTTTTTTAAGATTTTATTTATTTGACAGAGAGAGAGGCAGTGAGAGAGGGAACACAAGTGGGGGGAGTGGGAGAGGGAGAAGCAGGCCTCCCGCCGAGGAGCAGGGAGCCCGATGCGGGGACACCGGGATCATGACCTGAGCCGAAGGCAGACGCTTAGGGCCTGAGCCACCCAGATGCCCCAGGTTTTCTATAATAATACAAATACCAGCAACAATAAGTAAAATTTATGTAAGTAACAACTTATAAAGGGCCTCTTATGTGCCAGGCTCAAATCCAGGTTTATATGGATTAACTCATTTAGACCACACAGTAATTGTGGGGGGAGATTCTATTGTTATTTTATAGAGGTCCAGAGAGGTCAAGCAACTTGTGCAGGGTCACAAAGCTGGGAACAGAGCTGGGATTCTAAGTCGGCCACTTTGGGTCTCGTCTCCAAGCTTGTAACCCCTTTACTTGCCTGGGGTGGTCAGCAAAGGGCTTGCCATGGGGGTAACTTGAGTAAACTGGATGAGAGATTTTAATGGATAAAGCCTATGACTTGCCAGGCACCTTAAGCACACTTTCTCCCGTGGGGTCCTCACGACCACATTGTACACGCACAGTATCTGGGGCACAGGGAGGTTAAGTGGCTGTCTAGGCACACACCTAGGAAGGGGCTGGAGCTGGGATTTGAACCCAGGCGGCCCTCAGAAGCCTTGTACTTAACCGTAAAACTGCTAGCTAATAAGATGTGCCTATTGGGACTAAGTTAGGGGAAGGTAGAGAGCCGTTCGTTCATTCTTTTTGGTATTTATCGAGCATCTCCTAAGTGTCAGGCAGTGTTGTTGGTGCTGGGGGTGTAAGTGGTGATCAAGACAGCCAAGGTCCCTGCCCTCGAGAAGGTGACATTCTAGTGAGACAGGTGGTAAACAGGCAGATAAAGAGTAAGAATTTCAGGGAGTACTAAGTGCTACAAAGGAAGCCAGCTAGGACCAGGTGCTATATGGAATGACTCAGGGGTGCACACCTTAAAATCTTTTGCGAATGTGATCTTTGAAGGACCAGACCCTAGAGAATCTTGAGGAAGGTGATGGGCTGCAGTGGGCGAGGGATGAACACTCAACCCACTTAACGGATTTAGCCTTTCACTGTCTTAAACAGGGATTCGAGTTTTAATCTTGGGCATGGGGACAGAGCGGGGAAGGGAGCGTCCCTATGCAGACCCCAAGAGACCAGGCAGGCACACTCAGTCTGTCTAGGGACCCAGCCTTTCAGGCGTATTTGGGGGAGGGACTGGGCCTGCTTGCCCTGAATTTTCCTGAGCAGCTTGGCCTGAAGCATCCTGCTTTTCTGGCGGTGGGAGAGCTTCTTAGGTTCAACCTGCACAGGCCCCTCCCCTATTACCCTGCGCCCTCTCGGGCCCGGACCAGGCATGACGGCCCAGCAGCTCCGTCAGGACAACCCAAAAAACTGAGGGTGCCCTTGAAGGCTGGCTAGAATCATGCTTCCTCTGCTGAGTCTAAAATTCCAGAGTGACCCTCAGGCTCTCCTGGAGGTAGACTCCTCATGTTCCAGAGGCCCCCAGGCTTTGGGTGTTTCAAGCTGCCTTGACGTGCTGTTGTGTTTGATACAGGCCATAATTTGTAAATATCCATTGTGTGTATGTCCTCTCAGGAAGCCCGCGAGCTGCAGGAGCTTCCTCCGTTTCAGCTTTGAGGATGGAGAAAAGTGGACCTCCTTCTGGTGCTCTTGGGGTCACCAGCTGTCCAGGTTTTAACCGAAAGTTGTCCTAGGCAAACTATAATGGTGCGCACCCTTGGGGTCCGGCAGCCCGGGGTGGCTCCCACTACCCCTCCATCCATCTCTGCTCTGGCTGATAAAGAGCATCAGGATAGGAGCCTTGTTTCTACCTCGCCAGGCTGCTTGGGCCTCCTGAGACCCCTGAAAAGAGAGCTGCCTCTGCTCTGTGCGGATAAGGAAGCAGAGGCCCAGGGGTATGGAGAAGGCCCGGCTTCTGTTCTCAGCGGAAGACCCAGCATCTTCTCCTGGTACCTGAAACAATGAGGGCAATGCCTAGCCCAGCTGGTGTCAGGACCAGACTCAGACCGGGAACAGGGTGTGCCTTGCAGGAAGGAGGTGGGCCCAGGCCTTAGAATTGATCAAAAGAAGCTGGAAGGCCTTATTTTTTTGTGGGTTTTGAAAACATTATGCAGGCCAAACAAAACACATTGAGGCCAGGATCTGGCCCCCTGGAGCCCAGATTTCAACTCCCGGCCTGTGAACTTTTGCAGGAGCAGGGGGTTCCCGTCCAGTTCCTCAGCATTGTGTAGGGACCTGCCCCTGAGCTCTGACTGGGGAGAGATGTGGTTGGAGTCTGACTGAAGGATATAGGTGGAAAATCGATGGGCCGACGGGGTGTTACAGAGAATCAGTAAGATTGGGGAGCATGTAGTTCAGCGTTGTATGAGGATTCGATGACAGCACAGAGAGAGCTCAATACTCTGTGGCTAGATGCGTGACCGCGGAGGGGAGTCATGTCCTTCACCCCTTTCACAGCTCCTCAGAAGGTTACCTTACATGAAGGCCTTCCCCCAGTCCCCCCTGAAGTTTGCACAACTCCTGCCTCCACTCTGGTACTTTCCCTGATTGGTTTTCTCCATACTGCTTATCACCATCTGATATGTGATCTATTTAGAGTTCTTATTTGTCTTTCTTTCCCAGTTAGGATCTGAGCTCCGTAGGAGCAGGGATTTATATCTGCTCTCTGTCACAGTGCTTCTTAAATGTGTCGGTTGGAGAGCCTCTAGGATCCTTTTTTTTTTTTTCCCCTCTTAAATTCTTCCAAGAACCTTGTTTTTATAACTAGCAAGCTGAGAGAAGTTTAAAAAATACTCAAGATGACAATAACAAACTCATTAGCGGTTAACATAAATAACATGCTTTTTATGAAAAATGACCATATTTTCCAAAACACAGCAAAAAACTTTAATGAAAAGTATGGCATTGCTTTAGCTTTATATTTTTGCACGTCTCCTTCAAGTCTGCCTGAATAGAAGAAGCTGGATTCTCAAAGCTGCTTCTGTATTCAATTTATTATGACAGTACATGGCCGGTAGCCTCTGGAGGACTTCAGGGCACACTCATGAGAGTTTCCGTGAAAAAGGCAAATAACATCTTAGTATTATTATGATAATAACTTTGACCTCAAGGCTGCCCTGAGAAGATCTGGGGAAACCCCGGGGTTCATAGATCAGACTTCGAGAACATTCGTTCTTTAATACACCAGGTGCCTCAGATACTGCTGGGGACATAGGGTGCATTCGGGAATTACAGTGTTGAATATTGAAACAGTGTATCAGGTGCCTATTTGAATATAGCCATGTGTCCAGAATGCTGGAATAGATGACAAGAGCTAAGGAAGCGGAGCATGAAGAGGGAAGGGGTTCATTTCCAGGTCCTGGCCAAGGCCCCCGTGTCAAGCACTGGGGACTTGGCAGTGGCCGAGACAAGCCACATTCTGCGTGCATGGAGCCCACGTTCTCCTGGGCGTGGGGTCATGGACGGTCAGCCCCTAAGCTGGCTGGCACAGTCCAGCAGTCAGGTGGGGGTTATGCTTGCAGGACAGAACCCGCCCTGTGAGCATCTGGGAGCCCGGTGCCAGCCAGAGGGAGTAGCAGGAGCCCTGGCAGTTAATGGGCCCAGCATCTTGGGGGACAGCGAGGAGGCCAATGTGTCTGGAGTCTGGTGAGCAAAGGAGAACCGCAGGGTTGAGGCTGATGTGGTAACCAGTAGCCAGATCTTGCCAGGGGCCTTACAGGCTGGGGTTAGGTGCTTGGAATGGTGTAGGAAGACATCAGCAGGAGAGTTTTTCTTTTTTCTTTTCTTTCTTTTTTTTAGGAAGAGAGCGGGAGTGTGGGGGAGGGGCAGAGGGAGGGAGAGAGAGAATCTCCAGCAGACTCCCTGCTGAGCACGCAGCCTGATCTCAATCTCACGACCCTGAGATCACAACCTGAGTCGAAGTCAGGAGCCCCCAGGAGGGTTTTTCTGTAGACGTGGGGTCTTCTGAAGAGGGAAGAAGGCTCCCGTTCTTTCATTCCCTCAGCAATGGACTGGTTCCCTGGTGGGTGCCTGGTGGTGTAGCCACCATGGAGCCGCCATGGAGAAGAGCAGTGGGTACGTGGGGCAGGGAGGTAGGCAGGTCAGCAAGAGCCACAGGGGAGCTCTGGGGGTGCTCACCTCGCCTGTTCCAGTCTGCCATCCTCCACGAGTCGCCCGTGGTCTCGCCCTGTCCCACGGGAGTGAATGGCCGAAGGGATTTAACTAATTAGGGCCTGAGGAGCAGAGAGGAAACCGGATGTGCTGAAAGACTTTCATTACTGCCCTAATTGACGGGCTCCTCGCCCGCCTGAGCGTCCCAAGCCCTGGGCCTGACCTGGAATGTGGGGCTGACGACTCAGGAACCGGGGGCGGCCCTTGGCTCTGTCTCACAGCCACCCTTTCTCATGCCTGGGTGGCACCTGATTCTTGAAGCCTGGCCTGTTTGTCTCTGCCTCGCCACCCAGGCCCCTTGCCCCTGGGGCTACACCAGGCCCTGGGCTGGTTCGTGTTGGGGGAGTTACCTTTGCTGTGAGGAGGGGTACCAGGATGGCTGGAGGTCTGCAGCCCAGGCTCCAGAGTCGGCCCATCCGGCTCCAGCACTGATGACTGTGACAGGGCGGAGTGGGTAATCTTGCCAGGCCTCTTTTCTCATCCACAAGACAGGAAAGGTAACAGGACCCACCTCACAGACTTGTTGAAATACCCCGTGTTAAGTGTTTACAACAGACCCTAAACAGTAGCACACCCTTGGTACGAATTATCTGACGTTCCCTTGGTCCATCCGCAGCCCCGAGCTCCTGACGTGTGCGTGGGAAGGCTCCGGTCCACCCCCCGACGTGTCTTCATCCCTCTCCTGTTGCAGATGCTGACCTGACCTTTGAGCAGACGGGCTGGGGGGACAGTGGCGTGTATTACTGCTCCGTGGTCTCGGCCCAGGACCTCCAGGGGAACAACGAGGCCTATGCAGAGCTCATCGTCCTGGGTGAGTGGGTTGGGCCCTGAGGGCCTGGGAAGGGGTCGGGAACCGGGATCAGGACCTCTTCTTCAGCTGCTTCTGTATGTCTGCCCTCTGCCCTTCAGCTCACTCTCTGGACTCTGTCGCTGCTTCATTCTCTTCTCATGGCACCGCCAGTCACTGGGGCTTCTCTGTGCCCTGCACCCCAGGCAGGGGCCCCTCCCCCCAACATTTCAAATACGCCAGAGCCAAACTTGAGAGTGGAGAGAATTGGGGACTCTACCTCTTCCCGGTCGCCTTTTTTTTAAATCCCCAAGTTTTCAGAGTTAACTGGCAGGGAATGAGGAGGGAAGATGGTGTGTCTCACTGAGGGGAGACTGGACCCACCCCTTGCCACGTCCCCAGGGCCGCCGCTCACCCCGCTTCCCTGGCCAAAGCTCAGGAACCTCACCCTCTGCCCCGCAGGGATGGTGCTGTGTGGCTGACACAGTGAGGCCGCCGCCCCATGCTCAAGGCCAGGGTGGGGTTATCCATCAGCAGCCCTCGTCTGGCCGTGAGGCCCCCCTGCCATGTGTGGAAGGGATGCTGCCATTAGCCGGATGCCCTGTTCTTAGCCAGCACATTCGGGCTCGGGAGGCGTGTGCTGTATGTGTGGCGCTGCCGGACTGAACATTGCCATCATCACCCGCATGATGCAAGGAAACGCATGTGTGAATGAGCACACATGATGGGGGCGTGCCCCAGGGTGTTCCGATCACGACAGCTCGCATGTGGGTGACAGAACGCACGCAGCAGGGACCTGGAGAACTCCGGGTGTCCGTGGGCCAAACGCACAGCCTACATCAGCATTTCTCAAAACGCAGCGTCAGGACCTGCTTAACACCGTAAAAAAAACCCTAGAGGATCTCAAAGAGTTTGTGTGTAAGTTTTTGTGGATGATGATAGTTGCTTAACGTGACAGATTGAGAGCAGGAAGTTTTTAAAGCACAAGGCACGTGAGCACGCCATCTACGATCACCAGGGCGATGAGGCCACCACTCATCACGGAGCCTCTGGAACACCTGTGGGAGAGCACCTGCCTCGCGAAAAAGGCAAACGAGACTTGGTGTTACTCCGAAAGCGGTCTTGGCCTCATGGGCAGGACCACGCTTTGGGAGCCCCTGCTTTGCATGCTAGAACCTACTTGTGGGGGCAGGTGGCGCAGAGTTTTGCGGACGTAGAGCCGGGTGTGTGGGTGCCCCCGCGATCCGACGCTCATGGGGCGCAGAGAACCGGCGGCACTTAAGGGGAGTGGGCCTCGGAGTTTGTAAAGGGGACAGAATGTGCGAAGTGAGCTGGAACTCAGGGCCATTCTGTGATTTTTATGGGCTGTGGGCACTTCTGCCTTCATGGGCCTCTTCCTTCGTATTAAAAAATTAGACGTCTTATGATTGCATTGCTGTAAAGACAGTTCATTATTATAGATTGGGTGTTACTATTTTTTTTTCTTCAGATTGTAAAATAAAATGAAAACATCTAGGGCACTGTGCCTACCTTGCCTGATGGAACAGGACTATCCGTCTCGCCAGGAGATGGAACCCTTGGGGGTGATAGGACCTGTGTATGTGGAGCAGATGGGGGATCCACATTTGAGGTTGAACCTTCAGAACCCATGGGATGTGTTCTGGAACACTTTGGGGCAACAGAATTCCCCATGGCATGTGAGAGTGGGTGAATTATGGGGTGGAAACCTTCTGGAAAACACTCACATGGTCTGGGGTGGGGGGTTGCAGGAGCCATGGGCTAGGACCCTCCTAGGCCACCAGCCCCTCTGCTGCAGGACATACCTTCACCCCGAAGAGCCTAGAGCGTGGCTTCAGGGTAGGGGCGGGCTGGGCTGGCCCCTGCCAGCATAATCTGTCTCTCTTTTGTCCCTCCAGGCAGGACCTCGGGGGTGGCAGAGCTCTTACCTGGTTTTCAGGCGGGGCCCATGGAAGGTACGGGGTGGAGCCCCCCCATCCTAAACACTGCTCACTGTGGACCCCCACTAACCCCACCTGACTCCCAACTCCGTGGTGTCTAGTGACCTGGCTCTGGGGTTTGGGGTGGGCCGGGCTGGCTGAGGAGGGGCCTGGGGTGTAGGCAGAGGGCTCTTGTTGACTGGCGCCTGCAGGGATCTTCTAGAGGGTGGCATCCGGGCAGCTGGCTCTCTGTCCCTCCTCTGCAGCTATGTCCTGTTCTTGCTCCGGCCAGGTCACCTCTGGTTTTCTGCCTTGCCAGAGGAGCCCAGTGCAAGTTCCCTGGGGAATTCGGGGCTGGCCCGGGGTGGTAGAGGATGGGCGCCCCTCTGCTGCTGGGGACCCTGTGTGTGGCTGGAGAATCCAGCAGGGGTCGCAGCTTCCCCAGGAAGCTTCACGAATAGCCTCACCCTCCCCCTGACTCTGCATCGCCCCCACTGTGCCTGTGTTCCTGTATCCCCGTGTACCCCCCGGGCCTCCTGCTCACGGCCTGTTCTCCTCTCTCTGCAGACTGGCTGTTCGTGGTCATGGTCTGCTTGGCTGCCTTCCTTGTCTTCCTCCTCCTGGGCATCTGCTGGTGTCAGTGCTGTCCGCACACCTGCTGCTGTTATGTCCGGTGCCCCTGCTGCCCGGACAGGTGCTGTTGCCCGGAGGCGCGTAAGTGCCCCTCACGTGCCCACCCCTGCACGCCTCCCTCCTGGCTCGCGGGGTGGGAGGTGGCCGTCCGCTGGCTTCCCAGGACAGCGCCGTGGCCTGGAGGGTGGGAGGTGAGCAGTCTGGGAGAAGGTGGGCCAAGGAGGTTCTGCTGTTTGAGATGGCCGGTTACGTACACTTCCAACTTTGCATTCATTTTAAACTTTCACTTAGAGTTGTTTTGAAAGCATCATTTATGCGCATGGTAAAAAAAAAAGTCAGATAGTACAAAACATCATTCACTGGGAAGTACAGCTTCCTTTTTTTTTTCAAAGATTTTATTTATTTGAGAGCGAGGGAGAAAGAAAGAAAACGGGGGGTGGGGGTGGGGGCGGGATGGGCAGAGGGAGAAGGAGCAGCAGACTCCCTGCTAAGCAGGAGACCTGAGGCCAGGGGGACCGCAACCCAGGACCCTGAGATCATGACCTGAGCCGAAGGCAGGTGCTTAACCGACTGAGCCACCCAAGTGCCCCAGTAAAGCTCCCTTTAAAAATAAAATCTTAAATGAAAAAGGTAAGAAACCAAACAAGGTTTACAGCACTAATATAATTTACACAATTAAAAAAACCCACATCCACACTAGCACACTGGGTTTCACGCAGATCCTAAGTTTAAGGACATCTAGCACAACCAAGTAGGTACCTGGGGAGCTGGGGGGGAGTGGGGCCAGAGATGAAGGGGGAAAGAGCAAACAAAACAGGGAAGGGGAAGCAAAGGAGAAGGCGGGGTCTCCCTCATGCCACTGCCCCATTTCCCCTCCTCAGGGATGGCATTGTTGCCAGTTCCTTCCAGAGTGCCAGGGGATGGCCGCACCTCTGCTCAGTCCAAGAGGCTTTCACGGTGAAATCACGGGCAGTCCTCGTTGGCTTAGGCAGGTGGAGGTTGGAGGCCTGGCTGGATGTGTTACCTGCTCGGAGGCCTAAGGAGTGACTTCCCCTTGTGTGTCCGGCACTTAGTGCAGGGCTCAGCCTACATAAATGCTCCTTGCCCACTAGCTGTTGGCCATGTTGCTGTCAACACTGGTAATGACCGAGAGGGCCAGGAAGCACATTGGAGCCGTGCCACGGCCACTGTGACCTCGGGACAAGCAGCGCTCACTCTCTGATCTGGCTTCCTTCTTTATAAGGTTCCCATGAGGTGTTGCGAGCATTAAGGGAAGAGTGGGTGTGAGCACCCAGCACAGGGCCGCTGCTCAATCCTTACTGGCTGATTTCCTGATCCTTGAACTCACCAGTAGACAACCTGGACCCTCAAAGTATTGCTGCCCTGAGACAAATCCACTGCTCTCTGGGGGCTGATGCTGGCCATCCTGTGTCTCTTGTCCTTTCTAGTTGAGGGCCTCGGCCTCAGGCAGTGGGTGTTAGTCCCAATCACAGGTGTGGGGGAACCCCCCCTCCAGGGGGCTGCAACCAAGTTTGCAGTTACTACCCCACTGATTAAGGCTGGGGCCAGGAAGGCCAGTGTCTGTCCCAAGGCCATGCTCCTCCCATCCCGAGACGCTGATACCTCAAACAGAGGATCCATTAACTCACTGCCGTGGGCTGCCAGTGTGTTACTTTTGCCAGGGCCACAACCCTGCCGAGGCGGCTGGGAACAGCAACTCCCACAGCGAGTTATAAAATGCCCGCTCCCCCGAGCTACTGAGGGGCCTCTCCTGGGGCTGCTGAGCGCTGAGTCTCCTGCTTCCAAACTGAAGCAGAGGAGGGAGCTTGCTGAGCCTCCCATTTCCCTGTCACAATCCCAGGGAGGAAGCGACTTGCTCAGTCAGGCCCAGTGACTTTGAGCAAGCCATCTGAACCCTGCCTCTTGCTTGGGGAGGAAGGCAGCAGGGAGGATTTGCCCTTGAGCTGTCAAGCCTAGCACCAGGCGGGGGCTGGCTGGGGGTGGGTGTGGCCCTGGGGTTGGAAACACTAGCGGTACTTTGAGGAGTTACTTGGCTGCTTGGCCGAGGCAAGTGAACGCTGAGGCTCCCACGCACTTGCCTCAGCGTGATTCTCTGCAACTGGGCCTGCAGAACCCAGCAGCCATGAGAGGGGAGTGGGCATGGGATTCCCCCCCCCCACCATGGTGGCTCGGCGGCCAAAGGGGAACACTTGAATCCTGCTAGAGGGTCTGGCACATGGGCCTTATCTAAAGGGGCATCTTTGCCCCCTGTTGCTCTGTAAGAACCCAGGCCCAGGGTGGCCTCATCTCCTGATGAGGCAGCTAGAGAGCTGGGATTTTCAGTAAAACCCCATCAAATGTGGGCAGACCATCATATAGTCAAACAAATGCATTGGCTAGCCAGATGGGGGCTGTGGGCTGCCAGTGTGCACCCCCTCCCCAAAAACCTGTGTGAGGAAACACAAAGGAGGTGTGGATTCAATGAAGCTGATGGCCCGAGTCTCAGGAACCCTGCAGAAACCAATCCAAGTACCTAGGGAAGCCCCACAGCTCGGGGGTTGGGAAGAAGGTCCAGGCACATGTCCCTCCAGACCCTCCAGACCCTCCAACCCTGAAGGACAGCCTGGCTCCTGGCTGCCTTCTCATACTGTGTGTCCTCCCCAGTGTATGCTGCAGGCAAAGCAGCCACCTCAGGCGTCCCAAGCATCTATGCCCCCAGCACCTATGCTCACCTCTCCCCTGCCAAGACCCCGCCCCCACCAGCCATGATTCCCATGGGCCCCATCTACAATGGGTACCCTGGAGACTTCGACAGGAATAGCTCAGGTGAGGCCTGGGGGAGCTGGGACCAGCTGGGGCAGGGGTGGGCTGGGCATTTGGGCACTAAGGGGTCTGGGGCTGGAAGAAAGGGGACTGGAGGCTGGGCCTGGAGGGCTTTGTTCCAGGTGGGCGGCCACTGACAGTCGCATCTCCCTCAGTTGGCGGCCACAGCTCCCAGGTACCCCTGCTTCGTGACACAGACAGCAGTGTGACCTCTGGTGAGAACCAATTGTTACAAGGTTGGACGTGTCTTTACGGGAGGGGGTGGGGTCAGCGTCTGTTCTCCTAAACTGATCGCCTCCATTTCCTGTCCTTAGAAGTCCGCAGTGGCTACAGGATTCAGGCCAGCCAGCAGGATGACTCCATGCGGGTCCTATACTACATGGAGAAAGAGCTGGCCAACTTTGACCCTTCTCGACCTGGTGCCCCCAATGGCCGTGTAGAGCGGGGTGAGTGGGATCCTTGCAGTTTGAGGGGTGCCTGAGTGGGGAGGGAGAAGCCCCAGGTATGCTTGCTGCAAATCCCGGACATAGTACCGCCTTCCCTACCATGGCTGCAGTGAGAAGTCTAGGGCCCCCTAGAAAGTGTATGAGCCAAGTGGGTGACTCTGCTGGGCCCTGGAGTTCCGGACCTCCCAGCAGTCAGTGACACGCCCCTTCTCTACAGCCATGAGTGAAGTTACCTCCCTCCACGAGGACGACTTGAGATCCCGGCCTTCCCGAGGTCCTGCCCTTACCCCAATCCGGGATGAGGAATGGGGTCGCCACTCCCCTCGAAGTCCCAGACGGTGGGAGCAAGAGCCCCCGGTAGAGCGGCCAGGGAGTGGCTGGGGGGCCGGGCGGCCCCGTGCCCGATCTGTGGATGCTCTGGATGACCTCACCCGGCCGAGCTCCGCCGAATCTGGGAGGAGGTCTCCCCCAAGTAGGGGGAGGAGAGGTCAAGCCTATAGACCGCCCAGAAGCCGAAGCCGAGATGACCTCTATGATCAAGATGACCCAAGGGAATTTCCACACTCCCGGGATTCCCACTACGATGACATCAGATCTAGAGACCGCCCTCATGCTGACCCTAGGTCCCGCCACCACCGCTCCCGGGACCCTCGGGAGGATGGCTCCAGGTCTGAGGACCCCCAATATGATGGGCGGCTACTGGAAGAGGCCTTGAGGAAAAAGGGGCCAACTGAGAGAAGGAGACCTTACAGAGAGGAAGATGAGGAGGAGGCCTACTACCCTCCAGCGCCTCCCCCTTACTCTGAGACGGACTCCCAGGCCTCACGCGAGCGGAGGCTTAAGAAGGTGAGTGAACAATCCTTCCGGGCTTTAAGACCCTTCCTGGACCCTCTCCTCCAGTCGTCCCCAGCTCACACCCTTTTTCTTTCTCCCTTGCAGAACTTGGCCCTGAGTCGGGAAAGTTTAATCGTCTGATCTCACTTTTTCTATGTACCTTTTGTACTTTTTTTTTTTTTTTTAATTTGAGGGACTTATTGATGATCTTGCCCTCCTAAGTCTAATAAAACGATCACAAGGCCTATGTCTTGAGGGAGGCGTTTCTTTTGCTGCGTGAGGTGGGTAGCCCGGGCAGCTGCTGTGTCTGTGTGTGCGTGCCTGCGAGTCTGCAAAAGACCGCGCGTCCAGCTTTCTCCCAGGACTCGCATCCTGGGCCAGGAAGAAAGCACCGGCTCTGCCTTCCTCCCCGGGCCAGGAGTACGTGCCCCACGCTGACTCCGCCCGGCCCTGCGTGCGCGCCCCGGCCCCGCCCAGTCGTGCGCATGCGCCCCGGACCTCCGCCTTCGCGCACCTCCGACCAGCCGCCGGGAGCGCGCGTGCGCGCTCCTCTCCCCTTCAACCCCGTTCACCTCCCCAACTCCGACCTACTTTACTGTTTCCAAACCCCGCGGCCTGCCTCGTCCCCGGCGACCAGAGTCCCTCCTCCGGGTCCCCCGGCGTTCTATCCGGGGCCGCGTTCCACTCGGGCGGCCCGCCGGCGAGTGCCAGGCGGCCGCCGAGGCGACAACGGCGACCTCGCGCCCCGCCGAGACCCGGCCTCGCGCGCGCCCGCCCGCCATCGGAGACACACAGCGCGCGCGCTCCCCGGGGGCTGCCCTCCCCCCGCGCGCGTCGGCCCCGGGCTCGCGCCGCTGCCGCCGCCGCCGCCGCCGCCGCCGCCGCGCGCGCGCAGCTCAAGTAAAGGAGGAAAAAAAAGGGGGAAAAAATAGAAAGCAGCGGCGGCTGCAGCAGTGATCCGCCGCCGAACTGGGCCAGGCCGGGCGGCGGACGCGCGAGCCGGCGATCCAGGGGAGAGGCGGCAGCCACCCAGGGCGGGCCGGGTTAAAAAAAAAGTCGCGGCGGCGGCGGCCGCTGCTCAGGGAAGGAGGCCCGAGGGCCGCGTGCAGCGGGTGGGGGGCGGCCGCGCTGCGTCCCGGAGCCGAGAGCCGCCGGGAGCCGGCGGGCGGGCGGGCGGAGGCGGCGGCGGCGGCTGCAGGAGCAGCAGCGGCGGCGGCGGCGGCGGCGGCATCTCCTCCTCACATGACCCCACTGTTTGTCCCCGTGATCAGCGCGAGCGGCTCCCGTGTCTCCTCCGTCCCCTCCTGCCGCGCGGCGTGAGCGCCGGGCTCGGGGCCCCCCCGGCCGCCCGCCCCCTCCCCTCCCCCCCCCCCCCCCCCCCCCCCCCCCCGGGCCCCGCGCCCCCCCCGCCCCCACCCCCCCCATGGACATGCTGGACCCGGGTCTGGATCCCGCTGCCTCGGCCACCGCTGCTGCCGCCGCCAGGTAAGAGTGCCCGACCGGCCCGTGCCCCCGCGCGCCCTGGCCCCGGCCCTTCGGCCTGGCGGCCGGGCGGCGGGGCCGCCATGATCCCGAGCGGCCGCTGGGCCCGGCTCAAAATGGAGGCTGCGAGGGAGGGGGGACCCGCGCTAATACCCTCGGCCCCGGGTCCTCGCGGTGCCCCAGCTCCAGACTGGGCCGGGCGGGACGGGGGCCGTGCACCTGGGCAAAGGGGCGGGGGCGCGGGCGGCCCTGACCCCCCTCTTCCCGTCCTCCCCGCAGTCACGACAAGGGACCCGAGGCAGAGGAGGGCGTCGAGCTGCAGGAAGGTGAGTGCTCGCGGGGCTTACCGGGGCCGCGGCCTGCGCCCGGGGAGGGGACTGGGGGCGCCTTGGCCGCGTGACCACTGACCATTCCCACCGCCCCCCCTCCTCCGACCGCAGGCGGGGACGGCCCTGGGGCGGAGGAGCAGACGGCGGTGGCCATCGCCAGCGTCCAGCAGGCGGCGTTTGGCGACCACAACATCCAGTACCAGTTCCGCACAGAGAATAATGGAGGACAGGTGAAGCTGCGGGCCGGGAGCCCGCGGGCAAGTGGAGGGTTGAGCCGAGGGTCGAGCGAGCGGGCTGGGAGGGGCTCAGACCTGGTCCCGGCCGGGACCCCAGAGCCGATCTCGCTGCTCTGCCGCCCCCTGCAGGTGACGTACCGCGTAGTCCAGGTGACTGATGGTCAGCTGGATGGCCAGGGCGACGCGGCTGGCGCCGTCAGCGTTGTGTCTACGGCCGCTTTCGCGGGGGGGCAGCAGGCTGTGACCCAGGTGGGTGTGGACGGGGCAGCCCAGCGTCCTGGCCCCACTGCTGCCTCTGTGCCCCCAGGTCCCGCAGCGCCCTTCCCGCTGGTAGGTGCCCACCACCCCTGGGGGGGGGGGATGGAGAGGGGACTCTGACGCTGCTCTTGGGAATCCCCAGGGGGTGGGGCCGGTGGGAAACCGATGCTGCCTTCAGACCATCGGGCGGTGTGGGTCAGATCCCTGTTCTGCGCGGTAAAACCTGGGTCAAGAGCTTTTCTTTCTTTCTTTCTGTCAAATGGGGATGATGGTAGCAGGAAAGGCTCTCAGAGGTGAAAGTGGATCAGCTCATCAGGTGATTGCTGGGCATCTGCTGAGTCCCCGGGCTAGGAGACAGGGCAGAGCGGCACACATGCAGGGGTTTCCCGTCCTCCAGAGGACGGCGAACGGTCTCCCGGCGAGAAGGGGATGGGTTGGCGAGCCGAGGTGGCTAAGGGTGGCCTCTGTGTCCTACTTCCCAGGCCGTAATCCAAAATCCCTTCAGCAATGGCGGCAGCCCGGCAGCTGAGGCTGTCAGTGGGGAGGCACGGTTTGCCTATTTCCCAGCATCCAGTGTGGGAGATACCACGGCCGTGTCCGTACAGACCACAGACCAGAGCTTGCAGGCCGGAGGTAAAGGGAGGAAGGGGCCAGGGCGGAAGGCAGGGGAGGCAGCAGGCCTAGCAGGGAGGGAAGCCCCCCCCCAACTGGTTCTGATCGTCCCCCCCCCCCCCCCCCCCCAGTTTTTCCACTAACCCCCGCTTTTGCTGCAGGCCAGTTCTATGTCATGATGACACCACAAGATGTGCTTCAGACAGGAACACAGAGGACGATTGCACCCCGGACGCACCCCTACTCCCCGTACGTGTGGGAGACCTGGTCCCGGGAGCAGGGGACGCGGGGAGGGGCTGGTGTGAGGGGGCCGAAGGCAAGGGAAGTTTTTCTGGAATGGGAGCCAGACAGTTGAGCACACAGCAGGCAGTCAGCATATTTTTTTGGTCCGTTGCTGCTTTTTGAGTATAAGCGAGGGAATTAGTGTTTTTTCTCTTTTTGCGCGGGAGTTTATTTTGCAGAGGTAACTTCCAAGTCTGATTCCTTAATGGGCGTTTATAGGCAAGTGGGACCCGAGAGAACACGTGCCCGTCTTTTTCGTCTTCTAGGAAAATTGACGGAACCAGAACACCACGGGATGAAAGAAGGAGGGCCCAACACAATGAAGGTAAGGTCCGGCTGGAGTTTCTGGGCCCCACGGGCACCGCCAGGCCTGGTGCTTGGTGTCACGGCCCACTGGCTCACCATGAGTGAACAAGAGGTGTCTGGCGAACGCTGGAAAAGTAAAAACAGGTAGAAATCCGCTGTCAGGAGCAGATAGGCAGGAGCTGTGAACTGGAAGGTGTGTTGTCATGCTGGCTGGTGATCTTGAGTTCATGGTCAACGTCTGAAATGGCAAATTTCACTTTCGCATAGGGCTATCCTGCTTCTCTTGAAAAATCGGTTTGATTGGGTTTCCCTCGGACTACTTTCCATGTGGCAACTGTTGGCACTCTTGGCTCTCATTTCCCCCACTCCCCCGCCCCCCTCACTTCTAGAAGCAGCCCTGGTCTGCTGGGGAACGCATCTGAGATTGAAACTCCCCGAAGCTGTGCCCCTGGCTGGCCAAGGTCGAGCGTCGTGCCCTTGCGTTAAACAACAGATTCCACCCTGAGGTCATCTTGGCCCTTAATGCTGTCCCTTAGTCCTCCACCGCATCCCCCCCACCGCCCTGGTCATGGTAACGTGCAAGTCTAGGGGGGCGTTTACACCTAGACCGTCCTCTCTCAGCAGATGTTTCCTGAAGGCGGATTCTAGGCTGGGCAGCGTGCACCCTGGGCCTGGTCTGGAGCCTGGTCTGCGGTGCCAAGGAGGCGGAGTTGAGGCTGGTGTCTTCCCCAGAGAGCTGGCCCCTGGGAGGGCCTGTCAGGTGGAGGGGAGCTCAAGCTGGAGGGATGGCAGAGTGGGCCGAGGTTGCTTCGGGCAGTGCTGATGGGGTCGAAGTAGAGGTTCCACGTGGCGTGCTTGGGGGTGGGGGACCAGGGAGGACTAAGGAAGGCGTTGAATGTCGGGGTGAGGCCCTGAGAGTTCTGAAGGTGTTCGGCTGGGTTTGGGCCTTTGCAGCGGTGACCCGAGCAGCTCACTGAGCTCAGCCTTTAGTATATCCATACCCCACGCCTGCCTGGCTTTTAGGCCCTCGGGTCCAGGGGCTGCTAGGACGGACGAGGTCTTGACTCTCTCAGTGTCCCTTCTGGTGGGAGAGACAGATTACACAAAGCTGCGGTGTGATGTGAGGAGGAGAGAAAGCTTCGTGAGAGGCTAGGGAGTCATGGCGGCAGTGTGCTCTGTAGGCCTGTCTGAGGTGATGCTGGAGCAGAGGCCTGAACGGGCCGGCCAGGTCCCCAAAGAAGAGTTCCAGGCAGGGGGCTGAGCAAGTGCAAACACCCAGGCCGGAGCCAGAACAGACTTGGTGTGTCTGAAGAAGAGCAGAATTCAGAGGAGGAAAGAGGAAGTTGGTGGCGTTGTGGGAGGGCTGGCTGGGGCACACGAGGCCTTGTGAGAACAGCATCCCTGCTCCGGGGTTTTTATTCTAGTCGGAGGGGAAGCCGGCAGAGGGCTTCTGTATGGAGGAGATGGGACACCAGAGGCTGGGAACATCGCGGGTGACTGCAGATGTCGGCGTGAGACAGGACAGGGCATGAAGCAGGGAAGCGCCTGGGGGAGAAGATTGCAAGGCTGGAGAATCAGGGTTTCCTGGTGGTGTCAGGTTGGTTTGAAGGGAGGGGGAGAGGCTGAACTTGGTTTGGGGGTGTGGTGTGTTTGAGGGGCCTCCAGTAGGCTACCCAGGCAGTCCCGGCCCTGCTGCTTACTGGCTCTGTGACATCGGGCTGCTTCTCTGTCTCTGCACCTGTTTAGTCGTGTGTGAAATGGCGTTAGCTCGACTACCCTGGTGCAGACGCACGAGCCCCCAGCCGTGCAGTGCGCCACCTGGTAAGGCTGCAGCCCGTGACTCGGGGATACCATCCAGCCACCCTCCACCGTACTCCGCACTCTCCGCCTCTCACCTGCAGAGTCTTGGCTCTTGCTCACCCTGCGGAGAGCAGTCAGCAGTCTTTCTCACGGCCTTGCCCTCACGCTCCGGTGCATCCTGCCCTCCGTCTCCCAACCTGCACAGTCTTTGACCCACGCTCTGCCCACCCTCCCTGTACCCTTTTGCCGGTCTGGCTCATTTCTCTACCAAAGGAGGTCCGTCTGAGGTCACCCATGATGACCTCATTGCCAGATCCACTGGCTTCCTTTCCTGTCTGTGCTCCCAAGCATCTGACCCTGCCTGGTCCCCTTTCGGGAATGTTCTTTTCTGCTCTACGCGCTCCGGTTTTCCTGCACTCTGCTTTTCCTTCCCAGCCTACTCCTCAGAGCAGAGCTTCCCAGTAGCTTTGGGAAGCGTGTTAACAGTCACGATCTCCGGGGCTGTCCTCTCAGGGTTCAGGATGAGTAGGTCAGCGGGGGGCCCAGGAGCCTGTACTTACTTCAACAAGTTAGCCCCGTGATTCTTCCCATTGGGCAAGGCTGGAAACTGCTTTGACTGTTGGTGTTCCTTAAAGTCTGGCCTGTCTTCCGTTGGCCTCTGGGGAGTTGAAGCCTTCAGCTTAGGGATATTCAATATCCCCCAAACCCTATCCCCAATCGTAGGTATTCATCATTGCTCCAGAGGAGAGTATGTGATTCGGACAAGGTGAGAACAGCTCCTCAGTGTCCTCCCAGGGCTCCCCCCTCACCCCGGACCCTGGCTGCCTCCAAAGCTGTTTCTATTCCAGTCTCTCTTGAACTCCAGAGCCATAGTTTGAACTGTCCATTCAGAATCTTCATTTCTGGATGTCTTTACTCGACTTGTCCAAAACAGGCTCCCCGCCACCCCCGCCCAAAGGCTCCCGTGCAACATTTCTTTTCCCACAGGGCAAAAGGCACCCCTCTTAGAATTACCCAAGCCAGAACCAAAAGCCACGGCCACCCTCGACTCTGCCCCTTCATCCCTCACGTCCGCGAACCCTGAGATTCTGTGCTGAATTAGACCTCATATCAGCTTCTCTTTCTCCTTTTTCCCCTCTTTCCCACCTTTTCTTGGGACTGCAGGAGCCCATCTCCAGGCCCCACGGGGGACTGAAGCCTGCGCGGCCAGCCCATTGCAGCCGGGTCAGAATTTGGGCCCACTGTTACCGGGAACCTCTGAGGAGCCAGAAATCCAGAAATCTTGATTAAATGCCAGATGAGATTGCTTTTTCTATTTCATTAGTTTCTACTCTTAATGTTGCTAATTCATTCCATCTGTTTACTTTGGGTTTAATTAGTTTGGGGGTGTTTCCTGGCCTTTCAAGATGATTTAAACCTTTCTTTTTTCCCAACACAAGCCTTCCTAGGTGCACATTTCATTCCAGTGCTGCTTTAGCTGCATCCCATTTGGATATATTGGTTTTTGTTATCATTCAGTTTAAAATACTTTCCAGTTTTCCTAATGATATCTTCTTTGACCCATGGGTTATTTACAAGTGCATTGCTTAATTTCCAAACATTTGTGTTTTTTCGATTTTTGTTAACTCACTTTTAATTTAGTTCTGTTCTGATCAGAAACATACTGTTAAGTATATAACGTCAGTTCTTTGAAATTTGTTGAGGCTTATTTTATGGCCCTGAATACGGTCTGTCTTGTGGAAGGTTCCACGTGCGCTTAGAATGTGTGTCTCTGCTGCGGTGCGGAGAGTTCCCTCGGGGTCGGCTAGCTCAAGTTGGTTGATGTTCTTCAGGTTTTCTATCCTGACTTTCTTGTCTACGTCTTCTATCGGTTACTGAGAGAGGAACGTTAACGTCTCCAAGCATGTCTGTGAGTTTGTCCCTCTCTCCCTTCAGTCCTGGCAGATTTTGCTTCTGGATTGTTTTCAGTGTCGTATGGGTGTAACTGAAGCTCTGCTGCGGAGTAGACGTGGCCTTGGTCTTGGCCGGGCGTCCTCCCTTTCACATGTGCCAGGATGGTCTTCCTGAGCCACAGGCTTGACCACCTCCCCACCTGCTTGGTGAAAGGGCCTGGGCGCATCAACAGGGCATTCAAGACCTTCACAACCTGGCCTTTCCCTCCACCACCTGCCCCCCCAGAGTATTTCCATGTCCCCATTTCAGCATTTTCCACACCTGTCTGCCTGATGCCCCTCCCCTCAGAAAGCAGCCCAAATGTTCCCTCTCCAAGTCTTTGCCTGAAGGCCCACCGCACCCAGCACCATGCCGAAATCATTGGCCCACCCCGGCATTGCCCAGGCACCTGGTACAACCTTCAGTCGTAGCACCTCTACGGGTGTCCATGTCCCCCGTTTGCGCACATTGCACAGAGGTGCCATGCACACCAGCAGGGCAGAGATCGAGTCCTCCACAGACTCTGGGCTTGCACGGTGCCCCCCTCCCCCCGCACACAGTAGGGCAGGCACTAAGGCTTTTTGGTTTGGGGGCTTTTTAAAATTTTATTTATTTGAGAGCGAGAGCACGAGTGAGCAGGAGGCAGGGCAGAGGGAGAGAATCTCAGGCAGACTCCCTGCTGAGTACAGAGTTTGACCTGGGGCTCAATCCCATGACCCTTAGATCGTGACCTGATCCGAAACCAAGAGTCGGATGCTCAACCGGCTGAGCCACGCAGGTGCCCCGGGCCGGCAATAAATAAGTTTTAAGTTAACGCAAACTGGAAAAGATGTGCCCGGCGCCCCCATCCCTGCCCTCTGGTGGCTGGAAGGGGGGAGTCCGAGGTAGATCTGGCTGCAGCCCGGTGCTGGGGCTTGAGAATGCCAGACTGCGTGAGGGGAGAGCAGGAAGTGGAGAAGCTGTCTGCTGTTGAGTTCCTCTGCTGAAATCTTGGGAATAGAGCGCACTGCTGGAGGACAGGGTGGCCCGCGCTGCCAGGCCTGGACTAGACTTGGTTCCACTGCAGTTTTTAGCCACAGAGTTTCCAGGTGGTAGGACGTGGCCATCCCCAGTGGGGAGGTGCAGCCCTCCCCGGCAGTAATGAGACCCTGGTGCGCCCTCATCCCAGGGCGACGGGTGCGTAAAGTGCAGTCCTGGAGAGCAAGGGAGGAGGAGGGTGTCATAACCCAGGCCAGAGCAGGGGGCACCTGGACGTGGGGAAGGATGGTGGGCAGTGAGCAGACGGAGCCAAGTGCCAGGAGCCAGCAGTGGGTTTGACGATTGGTGGCCAGGCATGTTGTTGGTGAGAGCAACACGGTCAGCGGGAGGTGCCAGCCTCAGAGGCCATGAGGAGTAGGACTGTGATTCCAGCCCACCTTCCGTTTTCACTCTCACCCAGACCCCTTCTGACAACCCCCATCAGCACTGCCCAGCCCAGAGGAAGTACTCCTTTGCCCCACTTTCCAAATCCCACCTATAGGCTTCGTCTTCTCCACAAATGCTGCCTACATCTGCCCATGAGCTGTCCTGGCAGGAGGGATGAGGGCGTGTGTCGGTTGGGGAAGGTGACTGGGCTTTCTTGTGTGTGTCCACACCGATCCCTAGTACTGTGCTTGGAAGGTAAGGAAGATTCTGGCATAGATTTGCTTCCATAGGCCCTGAACCCTGGTCTTAGGCTCCCGTGCAGGCAGACCCCAAGCGGCTGTCATTAGGCCATGACATGAGCCCGATGAGAAGCCACAGGGATGGCATAGCCGCCACTCAGGTCAGCGGACAGAGTTTGGGTGAGATTGCTGAGTGTTACAGGAGTAAATCACAAATCGGGATTTTTCAAGCAAAGTCTTCCATTAGTCTGCCAGCCCTGGCCTTCCAGGTAGGGTTCATGTTGCCCTTGGGTGACCGCCCCCGTGCCTGGTGGGGCCAGGCCCCTGAGAGCCACAAGCGTCAGCCTTGGCAGCTTGGGGACTCGCTGCCCGGGCTCTGGAGAAGGATTTTAACCAGGGGTGAGACATGGTCAGACTGTGATTTTAAAGTTGAATTAAAAAATTTGTGGAGCCCGAACCCCGGGGGGAGGCCTGAGGACTGTGGAAAATCAGAGGCAGCAGCTGTGGAGAACTAGACAGGGGTGCCGGGGTCCTGGGGAAAGGGGGCTCTGGCCCATTTTTGCCTCCCAAGAACACAAGCCACAACTCCCCATTTTTCAGAAGATGCCAATTATTACGTGAAATTTCCTAATTTAAAAGTTGGCTCAGATTTTTTAAAAAATACGCCAGGCAGGTAAACAAAATGAACCCGGCATCCCCAGCTGTTGATTCTGCCCGAAAGGTGTGTGCGTGCGGCCCTTGAGGCCGAGACCTTGTTCCTCTTGAGAAGCAGCGTGAAGCGGGGCGCGGAAGCCGGGTGCCCACATCTGGGCGCTGCCCTCGCGGGCGGCCCCGGTTCCGCGGCGGGTGGGCGCGCCGCGCGGGCAGCTCTGTGCACACGGCGGCCACACGGCTCTTCCTCTTGCAGTGGAGAGGAGGCGGAGGGACAAGATCAACAACTGGATCGTCCAGCTTTCAAAAATCATTCCAGATTGTAACGCAGACAACAGCAAGACGGGAGCGGTAAGTGCCCCCCGGCCACCCCTTCGAGAAAGTCGGCCTGGCGGGTGGGGGGGCGGACGGGCACCGTCCTGGGCGAGCCGGCGGGCAGCGCTCACTGGCACTCTTGCCCACCCCCCCAGAGTAAAGGAGGGATCCTGTCAAAGGCCTGTGACTACATCCGGGAGCTGCGCCAGACCAACCAGCGCATGCAGGAGACCTTCAAGGAGGCCGAGCGGCTGCAGATGGACAACGAGCTGCTGAGGCAGCAGGTGAGGGGCGGGGCGGGCTGGGGCCGGGGCGGGGGGAGCCGGCGCAGGTGCGGGCAGCCAGCCCCTGGCTCCTCGTTCCCTGTCGGGTCCCCCTGTCATGTCGTGTGTGCCAGATCGAGGAGCTGAAGAACGAGAACGCCGTGCTTCGCGCCCAGCTGCAGCAGCACAACCTGGAGATGGTGGGCGAGAGCGCGCGGCAGTGACGCCCACCCCACTGAGCGGCGGGGGCTCCTCCGGCCTCAGCTGCCCCTTCCCCAGCCCTTAGCACAGAGAGGGACAGACGCCCCTCCCCCAGCTGCGTTTTTTTATAGTAGATTTTTAACAAAACGGGGAGAAATAATGCATTTCTGTGGATAAGCGCCCGCCGCTCTCCTCAACTTGGGAAGCGATATCCTCCCCCCCCTTTTGTCCGTCCCCCTTCCCCCGGCCCCCACTAAGCCCCGGCACTTCTAGTGGTCTCGCCCGGAGGCAGGAGGGAGGAGCACAGAGGCCCTGCCATATCCCGCTGCCTCCTTGGTCTCTAGAGGTACTGAGACAGGGTGCTTTCGGGAAGGAGGGGAGCCTTTAGGGGGGCCATCCCCGGGGCCTGGACCTAAGCAGGGAGGCCATGTCCCACCCCACCTCTTGTTTCTGGATCCCTGCTCCCCTTTGAGTGTGTGTGTGTGTTTTAATTTTCTTTATGGAAAAGTGGACGAAAAAAATAGAGAAGAGAGAGAGGTATTTAACTGCAATAAACTGGCCCCATGTGGCCCCGCCTTGTCTGTTTGTGTCTCTGTCCATCTCGGGGATAGGGAGGGGGCCCGGGGACCGTGGGGAGCTCCACGAGGGCAGTGCCTCGGCTGCGGTGTGTGTGGCTGTGTGCCAGTCCCTGCCATCCTTCCTGTACCTCCCGGACCCCAGTCTGTTGGTCGGTCGGATGGGCGGAGAGATTAAGGACTGAATAGCCCCTCTGAGGCTCCAGGTGTGCCTATGTGGTGTGAGGGCGTGGGGAGCTGGGGTCAAGGACGTGTCCCATGTTTTCGGAAGAGAGGCTGGGGTCTCTCCTGTCATCTGTTACTAAAAACAGCACTGGCTCCTGACCCTGCCCTTAAGGGTTGAAGCCCTCCCCTCTGCACCAGCCAATGGTGGAGCCTGGCCTTGAGCCCCCCACCCCCAGGAAGGGCAGATGGCCAGGAAGCCGGGCTTGGCCCGTCAGCCTGTCGCCTCACCCCGTGGCCCTGGCGCCTGCACTGTGACCCCTGCCCCGGCTGGTGACGAAACCCGGCCTGAGCTGCGATGCAGTGCTGCCTGGCGGTGCTGGGGGCCGCCGCCGTGTCTCCCTGGGGCTGAGCGCGCGGCCGGCGGCCCCATGCAACTCCCAGGACCGGGGCCTGCCCGCCTGCTCACCTGGCCGAGCTCTCCACCCGGTCCCATCCCAAGTGCTCCCAACTGGGCTGCCCTCTGACGGCCCCGTGTCCCTCTCCCCCCTCGGTGTGAGGCCGTCTTAGAGCAAAGGTGTGTGCAGCAGGGAGCGGCCTGCACTTCGCGGACCCCACAGCCCCCATTTTTGTGGTTTCGAGTGGCCCTTGGCAGCAGCTCACAGCCAGGAAGAGTGTTCATCCCTTGGCAGCATCGTCCACAGGCCCTTGGGCCGGAGCTGACCCTGCCTGGGTGGTCCGCCAGAGTCAGGGAGGAAACACGGCCAAAGGCCTGTCTGTGGAATCAGGGTTTGTGGTTCCCCGGACCGTGTGCACCCAAAGATGGCCCAGAGTCGGTGGGAGTGGGGTCGCCACGGTCAGGTCACCTGCTTCGTCTCTCTACCCAGTGACCTGCTGGAGAACCGGCCCTCAAGAAAAAAGGCCCAGGTTTGTAGAGTCAGCCGATGTCCGGTTTAAATGCTCCCACCACTGCCGGATTCCAGGTGCCAGTGCGGGCCCAGTCCAGCGCGCTCCCCTGCGGCCTCCTGTGCTTGTGGGGAGACGGGAAAGCCCAGTGGTGCGAACACAGGCCCCAGAGTCTGGTTGCTCGGGCGGGAACCCTAGCTCTTGCCTCTGGGTGAGCTTGGGCAGTGCCCCAATCTCTCCCTGCAGTTGCTCCTATAAAATGAAGAAAAGAAGTCTTGGGGTGGGTGTGGTGCTAAAAGGGAGCAGGGCCTGAGCAGCCAGGCCCCAGGGATTGGGGGCGAAGAAGGCAGCCAAGGGCCCCTGAATCCAGAGCAGAGTCCAGCACAGGGCCGGCAGGAGCTGCTCGGACAAGTGGCACGGATGTGGGTCCGTACATCCGGCATAGAAGAGGCAGGCCTCCGGGGTTAGCAGTTACGAACACTGTGGGCTTCAATGGGCAAGAATTCCGGAGACCTTTTCCGATACTCAGAAAACCACACGAACTCTGGGGGCTTGTGCCGACGCAAACCCGTGCGTCTGGCTGCACGGATGTTTCCTGCCCGCATCTGTGGCCTGTGTGAAGGGAGCCTGAAGCGAGAGGAATGATGCTGGGCACCCCGGGGGGGGGGGGGGCCCGTAAGGGACGGCCAGCCTCCCTGGGGATGAGAACATCGGGAAAGGGTGGGGAATAGGAGGTCACCTCGCTCCTGCTCGCCGACCCGTTCAACTTCTGCGGCAAAAAGGGGAATTTTTTTTCCAAGGTCAACAGGGTGATGCCATGTCAGGGAAAGTGTTCCCAGGTGGCTGGCTAGAGGCGCGTGTCTGTGGCCCTGACTGCCCCACCCCCTGGACACACCTCTGCTAAGGGTGACATAACACTGTTCCCTGTCACTCTGTTCCCGCTTATCTCCCGTCTTGTCGGCGCCACCACCTTCTTGGAAATGAGTTAGGACAAAGGGGAGGGGGCTTAGCACCCCCGCCTCCTCCAGAAGGACCCATAAAAGCAACTGAAACGGGGCCCCAGACACCACAGCCAGTCCTGAACCCAACAGGACAGCAGGACAGCCAGACAGACGGCACGATGGCAGTGAGCACGCGGATCCAGGCTGCAGGCCTCCTGTCCCTCCTCCTGGCCGGCCTGGCCAGTGGCTGGGTTCTTCCGCACCAGGTGAGAGCCCACAGGGCCTGGGCCCGGCTCGGCGGCCGAGGCCGCCGGAGAGCCGGTCCCTGGGAGGGGAGTGCTGAGGGCAGCCGCAGACCCCTTAGCACGGGACAGAGCTCAGGGAGGAGAAGGGGGGCGTACAGAGCCGGGGGCCTGAGTACCAGGGACTGGAGGCCCCGAACGAATTGCACAGTGAGTGGTGCGTCTGCTCCGTGTTCAGTCCTAGTCTGGACAGTGGGGAGCCCACAGGGAGCAAGGTAGATGAGAGGAGTTCCGCTCTCACGGACCTTACATCCCAGTCAGGGAATTAGTCCGGGAAGCCATTAAAACAGAAATAAGATCATCGTGTTTTCGTAAATGCTCTTCATGAACAACGGAAAATGACGATGATACTCGAGGGGCCTCGAGGGCCGGCGGGAGGGCTTCAGATGGGATCAGGAGTTTGGTGAGGGAATGAAATCTGACCTGTAGGAGCGGGAGGGTGAGAGAAGGGGACAGCGAGCAAAGGCCCGGGAGACGGCAAGTGTGGCGAACGTCCCCAAGGATCAGGAGGTGTCGTGAGTGCAGGGGGCGGTACTTGGAGAGGAGATTGGGGGGCGGCCGTGCCAAGTCTTGAGGACAACTGTGGAAATACTGATTTTCCTCCACGTGCAAGGGGAGCCCCGCAAGCTTTCAATCCGACTGCTAAGGCACGGGGAACAGAACGGATGGGGCAAGACGCAGGGAGACGTGTTCCAGGCGGGGGTGGCAGCAGGCTGGGGAGGGCGCTGTCCCCAAGAAGAGTAGCTGTGGAGAGAGAAGGAGACAGATCTGGGATGCCGGTGGGAAGAGCTGCGTGAGTGGAGGGGAGAAAAGGCCGGACCGCAGGGCGGCTCCCAGGATCTCCACGGAGCCCCAGGACACCGACCCTTAGGGAGGAGCTGGTGGGTGGGGGCAAGCCTGAGAGCTCCCCCGGGCCCTGGCCTTCCTCACCACCCCTTCTGCTCCCGCAGACAGGACAGCTCGCAGCCCTGCAAGCCCAGGACGCAGCTGGAGCCGAGGCTGGCTTGATGGTGAGAGCACCAGCGACTCCCCCCTGAGCCTGCCCAGCCCTCGTCGGGGCCGAGCTCCGCTCACTCTCCCTTCCTCCCCACAGCCCACGCTCCCGAGGCTGAGGAGGCGAGACGCCCACTTCCCCATCTGCCTGTTCTGCTGTGGCTGCTGTGATAAATCAAGGTGTGGGATATGCTGCAAGACCTAGAGCCTCCCCGGCCCGCCCCCCCCCCCCCGCCCCGACGCGGTCCTCCCTGCCCCTTGTATTTATTCCTGCCCTGCCCTCCAACCCTCTGTGACCAGACGCGGAATAAAATGGTTCTGTCTGTTGTTTTCCATACTAGAGTGTCTGTTGCCCTTTCTTCCTGCCCGAGGCCTATGCCAGAGGCTTGTTCTGGCCCCTGTCTGGTACGGGTGTGCGGGGTTGGTACCCACCTGGGTACCCACCAGGGTTGGCACGGAGGTTTGGTGAAGGAAATCTGTTTCCTGCTCTTCCCTTCCTCCTTCGCCTCTTCAGAAGACCTAGAACCTATGTTGCAACAGCAGGCGCTGGAAGTGAAACTGAGTTTCCTCTCCTTGAAGCCTTCTTAAAACAAGGGTAACAAATGCAGAGTCCTCACAAGGGTCTCAAAGCAAGGTCCGGGGAACCCCTGGCAGGGCTCCACCAGGCTCATTTGCCTCCCAACGCGGGTGCACAGGCTCTGTGACGTCGGGTCAACCTCATCGCTCCGACGGGAACGGCTTGTGTGTGCTGGTATGCCTTGGGCTTTCAAAATGTCCCGGTCTCAGTTTCTAAGACATGGAGCAGCTAGAGATGGAACCCACGTAAACAAGTTTTTTGGGGAGTCCTCGATCATTTTGCAGAGTAGAAAGGGATCCTGCCACCAAAGAGTCTGAGAACCACTGGCCTTCCAGGCAGGCACAGTGACCGAGTGAGGGGTGGTGGCTGGGTTTCAGAGAGCACCAGAAGTGGTATCCTCTGAGTAAGGACACACTGCCCGGGAGACACGCGGGAGGAGACCGCTCACCTCCACAAAGAGTTAAGTTCCCTCCCATTCTTCTTGAAACTGTGTCCCTCTCACTGTGTCCCATTTCCCCACTTTTTTTTAAATAAAGATTTTTATTTATTTATTTGACAGAGAGAGCGAGCGAGCGAGAGAGGGAACACAAGCAGGGGGAGCGGGAGGGGGAGAAGCAGGCCTCCCGCGGAGCAGGGAGCCCGATGCGGGGCTCAGTCCCAGGACCCCGGGACCATGACCTGAGCCGAAGGCAGACACTTAACCACTGAGCCACCCAGGCGCCCCCCATTTCCCCACTTTTGACAGAAACAGAAAAGATGCATTTCAACATCTTTAGCCCCTAAGAAAACATCGGCACTAGCACGGTGATAAATGGCCTGGGCTATTTGGCCTCAATGTTGCATATGGATGGGAGGCCTGGGTTAGATCGTTAGGGGGACCGGGAGATGGCTTGTCATGCCCAAAGGCAAGCCAAACATGGCTAGAGCTCCTTTTCAATAGAAGGCGGCCATGCTTATTTTGATGTGAGATTTCCTGGCTTTTAAAATATTGGCAACTGATTAAAGGTATTTTGTTTTTTAAACCAACACTCTGGTAGCCAGAGTGAACTCCTCTGGGACCCAGATCAGTCCCGTACACCACCACCTTCCACCTTCTGTCTTGGAAGCCATGAGAGGCTCATCCTCTGGGAGAGGTTTCCCTGAATGGAGGCTGAAGGGTGGGAAGGGGAAGGCAGGCGGACAGCTTGGGCTCCCATGAGCTGTGGCACCTTGCCGTCATGCTCTCTCTGCTCTGCAAGCCCACAGAGTGTAGCTGCTTATGAGTTATGAGTTGAACTGTGTGTGCCCCCACCCTCCCAAATTTAAATGTTGAGGTCCTAACTCACAGAACCCCAGATTGTGACCTGATTTGGAAATAGGGTCTTCCTAGAGATTGTCAAGTTAAAATGAGGTCAGTAGGTTGGACCCTAATCCAAGAGGGCTGGTGTCCTTGTAAAAAGTGAGGATGTGGACACAGAAGCCTGTATGCAGGGAGAAGGCCATGTGAACATGAAGACCATCATCTAGAAGCCAAGAAGAGAGGCCTAGAACAGATCCTTCCCCCACCCACCCACCACCACCCCGGCGCTCAAAAGGACCAACCCTGCCAACCCCTTGATGTCAGACTGTGGCCTCCAGCACCGTGAGACAATAAATTCTGTTTTTTTAAGCCACCCAGTTTGTGGTGCTCTGTCACAGCAGCCCTATCACACCTGCCTGATTTCGAAGGCTTGGCTGGATCGGAGTGGTGGCTCCCCGTTTGGACAGGCACAGGCTCTCCAGTGCCCTATCCTCCTGTGGCCTGGGGACCCGGGATTGCAGATTTCAGCGATGATTGCCAGTGCCCTCTGTGGACACACTGGCCTGTGCGTCCTGCCCCCCAGGATAGCCTTCAGTTCACACCTAGAGAGGGGATGGACCCCCAAACTGCACAGACACATGACCCCAAGGGGATTGGCGTTGAGGTTGAAGGCTGTGACACAGGAGTACCCCAGGATCTCAGCATCGTCCTCCAAAACCCAGGCACCAGGGCCCTCTCCTCTCTAGGACCCAGGCGTTCAAGCCCCACCCCGCTCTCAATGGGCTTTTGTCCCTGTCTGGGAAAGGCACGGGCAGAGTCTGACATCATGAAGCCTGAGGTGGGGGTGGGACTCCCCCTCCCCCTCCATCAGCCTTCTCTGACTCCACACGCCTGGGGCTGAGGGATTTCCCTGCCCCTCACCCTCCCCACCCCGGATGGGTTCTCCCTTGGGAGAAAGGACCCCCCCCCACCCTCACTCTGCTCTGGCCTAAAGGAAGATAGAAGATGCTCCACTGTGACTGAACAGCTCATGGTCAAACCATTACTACATTTAGTCACAGTACCATCAGCTCCCTCCACCGCCCCCCCCCCCACAAGCACCTTGCAAAGGTCATGACCAATGGGCGGGGTTGGGCTGGGAGGAGGGTCACTGTGGAGTCTGGAATCTGCACACAGTGGATCCTCACCCAGCTCAAAGAGTAAGCATGGCGCTAGATAAGCCCCGCTGTGCACCAGGCACTGTTCTAGGGGACAGAGGGCGAAGCGGACAGACAGGCAGAAACCCTGCCCTCTGGGAGCTCCCGTGCTGGTGGGGAAGGAGGTCCCCCCAGAGTGCAGTCGGCAAACGCGCTGAGGGCCATGGAAGGACGGGGCAGCATTTGAATGGAGGGGCTTGGCATGGTGAGAGGGGCAGGGCAGGCTTCCAGAGGAAGTGGCATCCAGGCTGGAAGCCTACAGGATGTGCAGGCTGTGGCCCGTGGCACTGGGTAACCAGTGCTACGGGATGGGGTGGGGAGGCCTGTCCAGGAGGAAGGAATGAGTGCAAAGGTCTCTGGTCAGAAGGTGCCGCTGGGTATTTGAGGAACAATGCGTGCACCCACTCCGTGGCTATGAGGCGTAACTCTGTGCCAGGAGCCATTCTACAAACGGGATAGATTAGAAATCAGCGGGCAAAGCCCTTATCTTCCTGGAGATCTCGTTCTCCTGAGAGGAGACAATCAATGCATAAGGTCATTTCTGACGGCAAGACGAGTCTGGAAAATAGACCAGGATGTGGGCACCAAACGTGACCCAGGGAAGTGATTCAAGAGAAGGTGGAGGTGACGCTGACGCCAAGAGTGGGCAGGTCCCGTCTCCTGCTCACCCCCTCTGTGGCCTCTTGGGACCGAGGTTATACCTGTCCTGGCCACCAAGATTCCCTAGACACTGAGAACAACGCCTTCTGTTTCTTAGCCTGAGACTTCCAGAGACATTAGAAGACCCTCCCAGGGACCGAGAACCAGGGTGCACAGTTATGGAGGAGGGGGGAGCAAGTGAGGCTGCCTCCCCCCATCCCCTCCAGGAAGGAGCTAGTAGAACCCAGGCGTCAGGCTGCCCAGTTCCAGCAGTGGTGACAAGGGCCCCTTTGTGCCCCCCTCCCTCGGGGGCAGGGAGGAGCTGGGCCCTGGAGGCAGGCGGCCCCTGGCACCCAGGGGGAGGGGACGGGCTGGCAAGTGGGGGCCTGGACCCTGGGAGGCCAGGGGACTGTGAGCAGGGCCGGTGGAGCAGAGGGTGCAGAAGCAAGAGCGTCCAAGTGAGTACTGCAGCCAAGAGGGGCCAGTGATGAGGCGGAGAGCCGAGGACCGGGGCTGAGAGGGTGCAGCAAAGGGTGCCGAGAAGCACGTGCAAGACAAGGTGCTCTGGGCCATGGATGGTCACCGGGAACTGCCCCTCGTTTAGGATGGGGCAGGGTGCTGCTCAGGACGGTTTGGGGAATGGGCTGGGACCGTGGCAGGGACAGTGACCGGGCTTAGGGAAGGAACCACAGAGAGGAAGAACGCAGGGCTCTTCTCAGCATCCTTATGGTGGAAAGTCTGGCAGTAACAGCTGCCCTGGGGCCCCTAAGTTTGGGCCAGACGGCAGGGGTGGGGGTGAGGGAGGCTGGATGAAGAGCAGAGGGATGGGCAGGTGATCAGCCACCTGCGTCCTGCCATCTGTGAGGGGTTGGGGGCAGTGAACTGTGTGTGAGTGAGACAGTGTCAGCACCTGGGTGCATGACAGGTGTGTGTGCGTGTGCGCGCACGCGCCTGTGCACACACACACCTCCCCTGGGTGAGCCTCAATCTACATCAGTGCTCCTCAACCTTGTTTTCATTATACCCTGCTAAGGAACCATTTTAGAGCTATTTTTCCTAATCCCATTCCCACCATGAAATTTTACGACCATAGACATACAGTATATATGTTTATGTACTGTGGCCCTGTAGAGAGTCACAGCTCACTGTAACAGCTAAGACTTTCCTGGCCCCCACCCTAAGAACCAATCTCAGCCCCCATTACGAACAGGTGGTCTACCTGCTTGTGTCACAAGTCTGTCAGGGCCCTGTAACCAGCCCTCGCCTGTGTCCCGTACCTTCTTGTTGCAGTGTGTCCATCAGCCTGTGTCTGGGTGGGTCTGTTCTTGGCTACCTCCCAGTGTGTGTATATGCAGGTCCGTGTGTCTTTGTGAGCATGGCCTGCAGGGGGGTCCACGTGTGTGCCTGCATGCCCGTGTCAGCCCTGGGGTGTGGTGGGCGGGAGGCAGGGCAGTGCAGGGACGCTTCTGTGACTGTGTGTGTGTGTGTGTGTGTGTGTGTGTGTGTGTGTGTGTGGAGGGTATCCGCAGGTGCAGGGGGCTCGCTGCCCTGCCCAGGTGTGCGCCTGCATCGCTATT